ACATTCTGGCCTACTGCGCATGCGCGGGCATCGCGAATGTTCACTCATCATTCTCTTGGAAAAGAATGTACAGTTTGACGAGAAGAAGAAGATACCCGCGACGATCTTTTACTCATTCCTGTAACTTATAGGTGTTCAAGAGAACAAAATGAGGAACATTCTCGATGCTCGCGCATGCGCAATAGGCCAGAATGTACATTCGGAGTGTACGTGTGTTAGCGGCTTTATACTGCCGTGCTAAGGAAAAACGCCTTATAAACCCTCAGGCGTTGCCAAATTTCCTTCGATAAAACACGAATTTCATTATGAACATATGAACACTTTCCTTCCAATTTTTCAGATAATTTTGTTCGCAATTCCACCTAAATTTCCTGGAAATTTCAAGGAAAAACATTCATGACTTCCCTCAAAAATGAACATTTTATCGAGGAAAATTTGGCAACCCTCCAATGTTCATACGGCGTTTTTCCTTAGCACGGCAGTGTAGACGTCAGATTCGTAGCAGAAAAGGGGAAAATAATAGGACCGCGTTTTGCAGAAAGGTACCAAGCCACAACCGCTATCGCCAAATTCAACTGAGCGAGTTCTTTTTTTACGAGAGAGCGTTTGTGCGGGTTCGTTTGAAAATTTTAAGGAATTTCCTTCTAATATGCAGGAAATTCATTGAAATTTGCACCAAAATCCGCACAAATGTTTTCATCTGAAAAATTAAATTGCCCAATTAAATTTGGCAATAGCTGATGTTGCTTGGTTCCTTTGTGTTTCACACGGTTCCAATGCGGAAAGCTCCTGAGGTCCTTTCTGTGGAAGTGTATGATAACTGGACGTATTCATGCTAAAAGGAACTATGTGCATAGGGTTTGTGTCAGACATAGTTCCTTTTGGCATAAATACGTTCAACTGATCGATGGGCCCTGCGGACTGATTATTGAAATTGATGGACAAAGCTATAGGCAAAGGAGACATAGGGAGTATGGAGCGATTCTATTGGTTGAAATGGTTGGTTCTTATAGACTAAGGGAGCGAATTATGGACTAACTAATGGGTTTCTCGTAGGTTGCCGTCAGTTAGTATATTACCTACCTCCTTTGTCCATGGCAATCACCCGCTACTACCAATAGGACCCCTCCATATCCCTTTTGTCTTCTTTGTCTATAGCTATATGTCTATCAGTTTCAATAATCTGCCCGTAGGTTAACGTGAGTATTTAATAAATCAGCCAAACGTTCAGCAATCAACCACGAATCAAACTTACGAAAAAATGTCTACAATCCGAGAGTTAAAGCAACTTCATACAGCATGCCGACAACACCGATATGACACCCCATAAATACCCTTACGAGGTTGACAACACAAGACTGGACAGACATTTTACGTCGTCTCTACATACTGCGTCGTCCGCGAGTTTCAGGAGTCAACGAGGTCGGAAGTTTGACAATACATTGTAAACAAGGGTGTCAGCATCTCCTAAACGCTAATCAAGCATTATCTTGTTTATTCCTCTCTTCCTCGCGCTTTAACAATGACGTATAATTCCACCGTCCATCCACTCTGCGCCATTTATTGGACGTATTTATGCTAAAAGGTACTATGTTACACGCAAACCCTATGCACATAGTTCCTTTTAGCATAAATACGTTCTTATTCTATAATGCCCTTTAATTTTTTTCTTCCTCGGGTCAAAGGTGCCCAGGCACGATTCCTTTCCGAACAATAATTCGAGATACATTGGACGTATTTATGCTAAAAGGAACTATGCCTCGCGTAAACCCTATGCACATAGTTCCTTTTAGCGTAAATAAATCCTATGGCTGTTTGTTTTGGTCAAGGAAATCGGGGAATTTTTCCACTGGCACTCAGAATTGGCACTCGGGAGTGTATTGAACCGATGAATTTCTGGAGTGTTGTCAGAATTCTGGAGAGAGGTTCCAATTCAGAGTGCAGATTTATCATGAATTCCCTGGTCTCGCCTAGATAATTTAACAACAAACAAACCCGGTTGAAATGGTCAGAAGTTTTTATTATTTTAAAGGGTGCCCACCGAAATTAGGAATTAAAGTTGCCTTGGAAATCTTTGAAAAGAACCCTTAACTTTCGAGACACTGGTATAAAAAATACCAATTTTGCCAATAAAGCTATGAAAAACACGCCACGGTAAAATTTGCGCTGTTTCCGCGAGAGCACATTCTTTCCTGACTTTTTTCGGTTTTGCCTGATCCATTCAATTTTCCCTTGCTGAGGCCACTCAGATTCCAGAGGGTATGCGATATTTCACGAGAAATCGTTCAAATACTGTTTCAAGATACGCAGAAATATGCAAACGCTATGCGCTGATCCTTGTATCAATCGTTCAAATACTGTTTCAAGATACGCAGAAATATGCAAACGCTATGCGTTGATCCTTGTATCTTGTTCACGTGCGAGGCTCCTTCAATAATTTGGGTATGCAACTTTTACTTCAGCAGAGCACGAATAGTTGCTCGAGCTAGGATTGCAGAGTTACACATGCTTCAGTAGGTCTGGGGAGTGGGGACTTGACTTTGACAAAATCCTCTAAAATGCGTGGTTCCCGAGTTACGGGGAGTTCAATTTTTTTAAAAAAATACCGCGAGTGTTCGGTTATGACGTCACAGTGGCTATGCGACGTACGGTAAAACGGTATTTTTTTTTTAGCGGTGAATAACTCCATCCGGATAGGTTTTACAAAAAAAAAAAACACGAAAGAACCTTTTTTGAGCTCTTAATGAGTGCTTTACGAAACCACAATTGTTTTTCGATTCCGACAATTAGGATGGCCACTGTGACGTCATAACCGAACACGTGCGGTATTTTTTTTCAAAATTGGACTCCCCGTAACTCGAGAACCACGTATCTTGGAGGATTTTGGTACAGGACTTTTCTGTTTGTTTTGAGTCTAGAACAACCCCTGAAAGTCTGTCGCCACTTAGTTGTTACACCCTGTATACTAGGAATAGACCTTCTAAAATAACATATTTTATGTTTTCCGTGTGCTTTTTTTGGAGTTTACACTAAATAAATTTAGGCATATTTAGAAAGCGATTGAAGAGCGATCAGTTGTCATTGGTTTAGCATAGAAAGTAAGTACAAGAATCAAAACGTCGGCTTTTCTGTCTCTTGCTACACTTGCGTTCAATGAATCTGCGGGCCGATTGCCGATTGGTAAAAGTTTAAATTAGCTCGACAAGACATCGAAATGCGACACATTGTATGGTTAAGATAGGACTATGTCTTGTCTCATCGTGCCTACATAGTTTCAATAATCGGGTTGCTGGTGTGGATTTTAGACCCGAGTCTTAGGGTGTATCTACAGCTTATAGTCCAGCGTATCGCCTCGCCACTACTTCATTAAACATGTTGTCCATTTTAGTCAGTATGAATATTTTTTTAATTTATTTTAAGATTTCAGAAGACGATTTGCGACATTAAAATTCCTTAGTGATGGATCGAGAGACTAGGATTTCGATTTTCCGAAAATGATTCACCTGATGGTTAAAATCTGAAATATATCTATCGTACCTAGAATGCATTGCTTGATGCTAAAAATACACCTTAAGCATAGAGTAATAACTACCAAAAAGGCTATATATCTTTGTTCTGATTCTTTGAGTGTCTACGTTCCTCGCTGGCCTACCCTTGTCCGCTTGCACCCTGGGGCCCTGGCTCTACCATGGCTCAGATCTCACACGGAAATGTTGAGAAATTCGCTTAAAAGAAGTTACCATACGTAGTGGTGTCAGTGTCCATGTTTGCAGACAAGCAACTTGTCAAGTTTGAAATTGGAAGGGTGACTTTTTTTTAAATGGGCAGTTAGCGTGAATCCGCCAAAGCGGTACCTGGTTTCCTTCTGTGATATTCTCCTCCACCCCCTTTTTTTCTTAACTCCCCATTTTTCTTTTCTCCCCAACTTTTCACCCCCCCCCATATTACATCTCCCCCCGTCTTTTTGTAAAAAAGAGTTTCGTTTGATTTTTAAAAAAACAATGATATATTCAACACGTGTTAATTAAGCTAATTTCTACAGTGAAAAAGGATGGACAAATCTACTGATCATTTCTCTGTGGCGTTGACGTTTCTCTGTGGAGATCGACCTCAGGCTCGCAGAGTCCTGGAAGAGGAATTTCTTTCTTATCTAAATACATTTGGCAGGTATCCGAAAACGTTTTTTTCCCTACCCCTTACCTTCTCTTAAAAATTTACTTCTGAATACTCATCCTGTAAAACTTTTTGAATTTATGCGCTCCGCTAATCTCAAAATTTAACCTTTCCCCTCAACCCTTTTGTATTTTTACTGATATTTCCATGTAAATTTATTACTGTTACTGCCTTCTTTAGAGGTGTAAATGGCCTTAGATGCTAAAGCACCGCTTTAAAATAAAATTATTTTACTACTACTACTCATGCTCTTATTGTTGGTCATCATCTTTACGCATGGTCGCCAAAATTAATATATTCTTAATTATAACATTCAACATGTTTCACGTGAGAACGGTAGTATTATTGTTCTCAGAAAATTCCAGGGGGATTTACTTCACATCATAGAGGAAATAACTTGAACTTCTGACAAAACTTTAAACTCCCGTTTTTCCGTAAACAAATAAACCATCCGATGTTTGGCAATGGCTGATGTGATTCGGTTCCTCTTTGCTTAATGCGGTTCGGCGTCATGTGAGCACGTCATTAGATACTGTGCTTAATGTGAGAACTGAGCAAGCTACATAAGGTATATTAATAGCCATCTAATTTCAGATGATATACTCGAAATTCGATGAGTGGAAAGCCACTGAACCGCGAATTCGTGACGAGAAAAATAGCTTGTTCCATCGAAAAAAAAACGCATTATTCAGCATTCCTAAGTTCCAACTCAACTCAGTCTTACTTTTTCTGATCAGCCAATCAAAATGAACGCAGCTGACAGCACTGCGCATGCGCAAGACCGCGCGCTGATTCTCGAGTATTTCACAGCATTGAGGTACCATTTTTTTCCCCCTCAGAGTGCGATATTGAAGTGCCTCACTTCCTCTCCTTTTTGCAATCTTTCATCCTACATTGGACCGTTCAGTTGCGTGTATGTCATACAGACTCTGATAACGCTTATCTCCCTCTTTATACAAAGTATTAATAACGATCCTTCAACACGAGTGTGTTTCCAGGGTACTTAGCTTGATGTTTCAATTCTTGGTCTCCATCAATTACACCTAGCAGTAAGTGGTCATTATCAATTTTTGGCACTACTTAGAATTAAATTATTTTGGGACCAATAAGTTGTTTACATTTGTAAAATTTAATGCACTGAGAGAAAAAGTCCTAAAAAAATTCCATTATATTCGTGTAAAAAAGGGTATCATGAATAAATTGAGTGATACTGTTAAAATTTTGAAAAGAACTCTGGCCGTGATGAAAAATACTCACAATAAGGCCTTCGGACTTGAACAAACTTTAAACTCATATACATTTAGGAAAGGAATGATCTACTGTATTCGATCCCTTTACAAAGTGAACTCCGAGACGAGTTTCACTCAAAACTATAACTTTATAACTGTTTTGAAAATTGTAACTTAACTCCATTATTTATGATACCCTTCAGTGTAAATGAAAAGTTTGACGAGTGAGTGATATAATTTCGGACATAGTCATGCAAAAAAGCTTTCATTTCACCTGACTCTGTTTCGCACTGTCATGTATGAATCAGGGCAATAAAATTGGCACTACAATTACTTGATATGATACTGAAGACACCATGTCAATTAATATCGAATAGTAAATATTATACTTCAGTTATTGATGACAGATGTTGCTTAGATAGTAAGCTTATGAATTTGGAACTGATCAAAAAATGTCTTACGATATCCTTTACCTTTCTGATAAGGTGTCAAATATCAGATCATCATAATATCAAACCTTGTACTCACTTAGGAGGGTATACTATAATTTTATTTTTCAAGAATAATTTCGAGCAATCAATATTTTTTTACGGATTACTCGATTAAGTCGTTACAGAAATTTAGGTAAAACGGTAGATTAAATAAGTGCAACCCTAACCATCATTTCAATGGTTATGTTTTCTAGGAAAAATCTGGAAATGGGCGTTAGAGGCTTAGAGACGTTTGTGGAAAAAACCTTTCCATCTGAAGCCTGCCACGAAGTTAATATACGGCAACTTGTAGAAGATTTCCGGTAAGATTTATTTCGTAAATAAGGGTGGATTTAGGACAGAAAGTATTATTCATATGCTCCCCGAGAATCGATCACAATTTAAGGTGATCCGATGGACGCTATATTTTGTGTCAGAACGACGTGCAATAAATCGCATCGATTAGTTCCAGTTTCTCAAAATTTTGAGATCAAAATTCTGTTGTCAGGAGACTAAAGAATTCACTTTCCAATTTTGACAAACAAGCTTGACTTAAGAAAGGCGTGGTTGCTATACATGTCAATCCATGACAGATGACATCGCATTCGATACTGATATCGAAACTGCACTCGAATGCTATATTTTCTTTCTAAAAAAACCACGCCTATATTACGTTGAATTTGTTTGTCAAAATTGGTAAGCGAATTCTTTAGTCTCCTGACAATAGAATTGCGATCTTAAAATTCGAGGAAAGCGACGAGTATAGCTAAAAAAATTGAACCAATCGATGCTATTCATCGCATGTCGTTTCGACACAAAATATGGCGTCCTTGGAATTACCTTAAGATCTATTTTTCGATTTTCCTCACTTCTGTCAATTTTGGAAAATGTTTACGAGATTTAAGAGGAAAAAAACGCTCTCAATGGCTCAGGCAGACGAGTTCTTAACTTCCTCAATGAGAATCCAGTCATGAAATTTCACATTGGGACCATTCTCTTGAGACGCGGAATACTTTTTAATTTAAAACTAATAAAATGCAATTAAATAAAATAAAATTATCTTTAGATTTCTTGCATTTAATATGATCCTAGTGACCTATGATCCGTTCATGCGTACTAATTAGAGATAAAGAATGATAAAGATCTTATTAGACATATTTTACCTAAACTAGGCTGAAAAAGGTTTGAATTATTAGACTATTTTTTTAAGTGCAGTACGTTGACTTGAACAAGTTTTAATAAAATTATTGCATGAGTAGAGTAAAAGAAATAAATAGGGGTGGACTGGCTCCACATACATGGGCCTCTCCAAAAGTGGACTTGAGCGTCCTCTCTGGGAAAGGGGAGTCTGGGGATCCGCCATGGACAATCTTGAAAATACGCCAAAATTCCTTAAAATTCTCCTAAATTCGTAGTTGAGGCAACTTTTTATTAATTCTTCAAAAGTGACTGGAGGAAAAAGCTAACGACCCGAGATATGGTAGTAGTAAATCAATGAAAATAAGAGTCATTCCCGTTTTTTTTCAAAATTTTCAAAGTTGGGCAGTATCTAGAATTTACGGAGCAGCTGAATTTTTTTTCTTATTTATTTATTTTTGAAACGGATTTGGTGTTTACTTGTAACAATTTATGCTTTCAATTCGTGAAAATGGTGAAATAAAATTCGGACAAATTATTTCTTTCTCTTACTTCACAACTTCACTCCGCGGAATTTGTATGTTGGATTACAAACAATGAACCAAACAAAATTGCAACAGTAGAACTGACTGCGGCGCGCGTGATAGTGAAGGGAAGAGGGGGAAGGCGCCTGTCTGGAGACGGACTAGCGAAGAAAGCTGTGACATGCATGCAAAATGACACTGGCCGATAATAATCATCAAAGGAATTCGTGGTTTAATTTTTCTTGCCGAGGAAAAAAGCTCGAACCGCCGGATCCAGGCATAATGTGTAGGTACGGCGCCTGTACGAAATTTTCAGCATGGGCCCACCTAGAGTCCCTTTATACTGAGAGTCAAGACAATTTGAATCTATTTCTGATTGGTTCCCGTATTTTAGGCCTCCACAGTGTCACAAACGGGAATAAAGATTACATTTTCACCAATTGCAAAGATTATCATCTGGAATGGACCAGGGAATTACGGGTTCGGCAAGGAACAAACGGAATGAGAGGAGGAACGGAGAAAGGCATTTGAGAATGGGCCGATCAAAGATTACGAAAAACGTTCAATTTCTGTAATCTTTATTCCCGTTTGTGACATCCATGAGCCGAATTGTCTTGACTCTCAGTATAAAGGGATTCTAGGCCCACCAAGAGGTCAAGTTAATCAATAGTGCCTAAAGAATCTCTAAAAGTTGAAAATTGGTCACACTTGCTACCATGGACGTATTTCTATCAAACGGAACTAAGCGCCATAGGGTGAGGAAGGTAAAGGGGGATTGGATTGGCGGCGGAAACGGGCGTCCAGGACGCCCGGCGTCCTGCTCGTTCCTTCCTATACTCGCAATGCTTTTCAATGGCGCTTAGTTCCGTTTAACAGAACGTGCTATCCGGCATTCTAAATTCCTCAAAAGGAACTCAAATTGGCGCTTAGTTCCGTTTGACCGAAATACGTCCAATTGCTCCGAAAAATTAAAATGGGCTGAAAGATACTCCATTAGGTTTCGTAAAAAGGGCTGAAAGGAGCCCCTTATCTACGTCAAAACATGCCATGGGTAAGTTCGTAGCAAGTCCAGTAGGGTGCGAGCCTTCCCTCGCGCCCTGCATGCCGATAATCGAAATTGATAGACAAAGCTGTAGACAAAGAAGACATAGGACATTTGGAGCGATCCTACTGGCTGAAACGGACGGTTGCAATGGACAAAAGAGGTGAGTGATAGACTGACTACCGGCAACCGACAAGATACCCGAAAGTTAGTCCATCATTTCCCCCTTAGTCTATCGGAATTACCTATTTCAAGCAATAGGATCGCTCCATACTCCCTAGGTCTTTTTTGTCTATAGCTTTGTCTATCAATTTCAACAGTCAGCCCGCAGAACCAGTCTGCTCCTGGAAATAAGCAAAGTCACAGCGCTTTTTTTCTGTTTTAGAAGGAAAAGGAATGCTGATATTAAACCAATCATAGCTTTCCATTGGAGCAACATTTCAAGAGACGTGCTAAAGGACATTGACTGGGTTTGCGGTGGACAAAGTGAAGAAGCTTTGACTAGAATTGAAAATTTCATTAGAGCTTTCACGAGGGTGGGCGCACACCCAGTATTTTTCTTCCGAGGGTACTCCAATGTGGATGCTGACTATTTTAACCGTGATCGTTGGATTCAGAGGGGTCTTCGGAGACTAGAAAACGTGAACTCGTTTTTCGACGCTTTGAGATATGGTGATCCAATTCCAGAAGGAAACCCCAGCTCAGATGTCCCATACCTACAAAACCTTTCCTATTACTTTCCAGCTAAGTTTAATTGTGAGGTAAGTTTGAAAAATCTTGAAACTGGAATATGGTTACTTTTTCCTACTCATTAGAATCCTCCATTTTCATCATCGCTTCAAAATTACCTAAAATCATCCAATTTAAGCAGGGCAATTGTAAATTCAGAGGAGAGGTTTATTTATTTATTTAAATAATTGCAGTATTTTTTTGAGGAATCAGGCGGTGGTTTCTTAAACATGGATTTTTTTACCATGCGAGCGATAAACTCATCAGTCATCAAACCACTGGCTGATTCCTCAAAAAAATTCTGCAATAGAGAATTTGCAGGGGTCTTAAATTTTGTTAAATTCATTCTTAAAATGATACTGCTAGGAAAGTTGAGTACTAGGCATCGGCAAGTGAGCGCACACTGCACAGCAACGTACATCTGGTATTTTGGCGAACGTATACACATTTTTTTAAAAAGAATTCCGAAGTTCTTTCAGAAAATGCGTGCACGTTAGCTAACGCACTACCTATCTTCTAGAATGTTCCTCTATTGGATATGTTGGAGAGAAATTGATTCAGTGGTGAGAAAATGATCTATTGTGATCCATGCGGCGATAGTTATAGATGAAAAAGTCACACTTAATTGTTCGATCCGAAAGTTCAATTAGGTAATTGCTCAAATTGTTATGCTTCGCTTGACTTTTCCCCGGTTTCGAAATTCCGGTTAAAATTTTTCATGCACTGATATCCAACCGTTTTACAGGTTTACAAGGCTACAAGAGAGTGCAATGCAGAAATTGTGTTGTACGCTCGCAGAAATGAGAACTGCATTGCCATTTTCGGACAAGACTCCGATTTTCTGATATCCAACCGTTTTACAGGTTTACAAGGCTACAAGAGAGTGCAATGCAGAAATGGTGTTGTACGTTCGCAGAAATGAAAACTGCATTGCTATTTTCGGACAAGACTCCGATTTTCTGATTCATGGCGCTGCCCCATACTACCTTTCGTCGAAACATTTTGATATTAATACAATGAAGACTCGTAACTACAGTAAAGCCGGTCTGGCGAATCTGCTTGAGCTACCGGAATGGCAGTTACCTCTCTTTGGAACCCTTGCAGGACGTGATAACTTCACGAGTTTTGAAGAGTTGCTGGTAATGTAGACCCTAAATAATAGTAGTGAGCCCTAAATAATATTAAATGATTGTAGTTCATGGGCCATAATGTGACGCAGAAATGCTGAATATACTCAGAAGTCTCCAATAAAGACTAAAATGGGTGCCTATTTCATGCAAAAAGGTGCAAAAAGGTGCAAAAAGGTATAAGGCGCTGCTGTCCATAAATGAGGTAACACTCTAGAGGNGGGGGGGGGGGGGGGGGGTGTGTTGTCTTCATAATTTTGTGACTGAGTGCGTCAAAGAATGGGGAGTATTGATCTCAGCGTTTCATCACTGTGTGCATGCCCCAGTGGTAATGACCTTTAAAAACATTTATAAAAAACTGTTAGAATGTTCGTATTAGAAAACTTTTTTCACAAAAACTTTCTTTATATATTTGAGGGAAAATTGTGCTCACATGAGCTTTTTCCCTCTGTATTGAGATTAAGAACTTTTTGCTGAATTTTTAATGCACGTTGCCTAAAAAACTCCAACATATTGTAAAACCTTTTTTGGCTATTTTTTAAAGTTAAATTTACGAGAAGTAAAATTTAAGTAAAATTTAAGGGGAGATTGGTTCAAGAAAACTCTTAAAATATCACTGTAGTTTTTTAGCATTTTTTCCAAACAATTTTAGTGTTGAAAAACTCCAGTTGATATTTTAAGAATTTCTTTTTAACACTTTTTTACTTAAATTTTGTCGCTCGTAAATTTTACTTAAAAAAGTAGCCAAAAAGGGTTTTCTAATATGAACAATTAAGCAGTTTTTTAAAAAGTTGTCCTTTTGAAATTTAAGAGTTTTTTAAAAGCTTATTTAACAGTAGTTGCTACTAGGGTGCTAAATTTTAACTTTTAAAGTTTTATGTTTTCAAAAAATTGTATTTTATGTTTGTTTCTTACAGTCAACAGTGCAATGATACTTGGACCTATTGTTTTCAGCCTTTTTTCAAGGAATTAACTGGAGGGCCAACCCCTGTTGACAGACGATTCAGAGCCCTGGCCAGGTATATCAGGAACAGATTGAGATTGCCTGGGAATGTGGAGGAGCAATTCCAAGAGGAAACTATGAGGAGAATTTTACCGAGGGTGGCTAGGGATACATTAAACGATGCTGAAGCTGAAACGCTTTTCCTCATCAGTATTCAAAACTATAGACCTAAAGAAGATCTCGCTCCAGTGAAGTCGTCTTTTTCTTCAGAAAGAGGTACTTGGATGGAATTATGCGCACGAAATAAGCAAATGCCTCCTTTGCACTTGCATGTAGAGTACCTTAATACGGTGAGTATGGCCAATGGGCCCCATGGAGAGGCTTAGGACCCAAAAATGGCGGTGCTTTGTTTTGATTTTTGAGGATGGGAGGGGGGTCATTGCCAACTTTAGACGGTTATCAAAAACCGCACTTGCTGCCAACTTTTCTTGAAAATTGCACACGATTAGCCGTAAAAATATGTAAATAAGTCGCTATAGTGCATTTGGGAAAATTTCTCGTTACGATAAGCAAAAAAAACTACATTTTGAGGGTCATTTTGCATTACATTGACTTATGGCGTCCGCCATTTTTGGGTCCTAGAACGCTCCATTCAGCCTAAAATGGCTGAGCCAATCTGAGATGGAAACCGAAGTGGCCATACTCTCCCAATTAAGGTACTCTGCTTGCATGCCATGAGAAACCAATAAAAAAAGAGATCATAATGCTTCGTTTGAAATTTGAAAACGTCTCTTGCAATGCACACACACGCCAACACACGTGAACTAATTATTTTTATTAAACCCTGACTGGGTCTCATTAAATTCGCTTTATCAGTTCAGTGGAGACGAGGGATAATGGAAGGGTCAAGTGAAAACTTGCGGGAGACAAATTTTCCATCGTCTCATATTTGGATTACATTTTGCAATAAGGAACCACTATTACTGGCTCATTTTAGAAACAACATATGAGCCCTTGATTTCCCTATGAAGATACGTGCTTTTATGGAAGAGCCAGAGATAGTGGTTCCTTATTGCAAAATGTAATCCATTTGTGAAGCACGGCGGGCTAGACTGCGAGGACCCGAGATGACAAAGCACCTACAATTCCTCGTTTATACTACTAAGACATCTCTTATGAATAACTAGTTGCAAATGGGCTTATGAGGCGAGTGTCTTTTGTGATTCAGTTCCAATATTGCGATGAGCTGACAATGATTTGTAGAGCAACTATTCATGCCTGAGAGATTCGTAGCGTTAACGAAGAAATGAAGGAGCTTCGTTCTTTAAGATACCGCAGTAATATACTATGCTCAGGAAGAACGCCGCGCCGCCGTGTGAACATTTAAGCGTTACCAAATTTCCTCAGATAAAATATGCATTTTGCAGGCAAGTTATGTATACTTTTCCTGGAAATTTGAATTTTAGATTAATTTCCGAGCAATATTGTCAGAAAAATTGGAAGAAAAATAGAAAGAACTTTTCCCAGTGCATTTGTATTTCATCGAAGGAAATTTGGCAACGTCTGAAGGTTCATACGGCGTTTTTCCTAAGCACGGCAGCACTGCCCACCGACGCCGTTTCGCCGCTACGGCACGGGTGAATCGGTGACATCCTGGAGATTCAAAACGCCTTCACTTTCGTGCGTATGCAACACAAGCATCCATGGAGCCCGAAGAGTTGCATTCACGCGTTTGGGTTGAGGCGTAAGGCGTTCGGGTTAAGGCAATGAGTATCAGGCGTTAGGGTTGTAATTTGTCGAATATTTTTCCCATTTGATACTAACGGAGGGCGCTTTACTTGTTTCTCTCAAACCTTAACTTAATTCCAGCGTTGCAAAATTTCCGAGAGGATCATTGGTTGTTCACGTGTATTGTAGCGTTGCTGGTCCTCGAAATCGTAAAAAATGTGGGTATCTGAGCATAATTTTTAGAGTTTCTTTCGACCTATACTTTAACGAGCCGTCATTTGTTCGGATCCCCCCCCTCCCCTTCAAGAAAAATACTTATGATGTTTAAGGAGAAAATTTTCAAAGAACGAACCTGATAAATCGCAGGGAATTTTGCAAAAAAAAAAAAAAAAAAAAAAAAAAAAAAAAAAAAAAAAACCATGACCGTTCACTTTCCATAATCAAAATCTGTAGCATCACAAGCCTAGATACACGTAAACGATCTGTTAGCTATATTCTGTGCTTTCAATATATTTTACACATTGTTTCAGTGAAAGGCAATCTTTCTCACTGGGATGAGATAATGGTTAGGGCAGAGGAACTGCACAGATCGAATAAAATTCCGGCTTTAGTGAGGAAAATCCTACAAAATCAGCCTTTTGAATACCTGCCGGCACTGGAGGATCTTCGGAAAAATTCTACCACTAATTTACCTGCATCAGCTCTCATGACAAGACCCCTGAGAGAACAACTTTATAAGATACTTCTTGCTGAAAAACCAGAGCCGCATCCACTTTTAGTGACTGAATATAGCATGGAAGGGTATGATACAGCAAATGAGCCAGTTAAAATCAGTATTGATGCGTTTCAAGGTAATTATTTAAGGACCCTCTGACTTAAGCTTCTTTATTTTGACTTTTACGACATTATTTTTTAAAAAAAGACCGAGTTCTTGAATTAATTCACTTTAATGCCAATTTGGCTGGCTTTCATAGAAAATTGTAAAGTGATTGAAAAAATAATCAAGCTACAAGCCAAAAATATTTTTTTGGCTTAGTAATTTTTCACTTTACAATGTTCTTGGATTAATGTACTTTTTTTTACTCACCAACTGCAGTACGAAATCATAGTATAACTTTATCATGAGCTTACCTGTAACAGAGGGAAAAAAACATGATTCATTAGTAAGGCCTAATGATTTGTCGAAAAACTATAAAACATCTTGAATTAATCGCGGATTTTTAGGCCTATGACGAGTTATAAGTATCGATTAGGTATCTTAAGGTCTTTCTGCTGATACTGTTTTGGTACGGTGAATTTAGCGCAGAAAACAATAGAGATACTGGAAAAATGAATTCCTCCGATTGCAGCGTTGGTATTAACCACTCGTTTTTTATTAAATTTTTCATGAAAATTAGCCGGAATTTTCTCTTGAAATTGTCAACGGAAGGTTAGGGTTATTTTGTGTTTTACTTCCCATATTAACCAAACTTTTGTGTTGACAATTCTCTCTGTGTAGTGGTAATTCCTTTTTAATGATATTTTTCCATTTTAGAGGAACACCCAGGATTGATGAAACTATGGAGTGACAACCGTTCTGATGAGCTACAACGAAAAAGATGGACATTATTTGTTGCAGCTGCCTCACCTCGATTAGACCGAGATAAATTGGAAAACCTACCCACAGATCTGATTCTGCCAACTATGACACTGGTTTATCTGCGGGTTAGTCATCTGTTTTATCGTGTTCTTAATTCGTATTTATCAGCTTCTATTAGTCATTTTGTTTGTTTTAGTGATTGTTTGAACGTATTTTTGCCAAACGGAACCGTGTGCATTAAGACATGAGCTATAAGACCCATAAGAATATAAGCAGAACAGGGCTCACGTCACAATGAACATAGTTCCATTTGGCAGAAATACGTTCCTTTATTTTAGTGATTATTTATCCTGATATTGGTGTTATACGCATTTGATTTCTTACAATTTACGGACAGTTACAGTCACTTCTTCCTTTTCCCTAGAATTTTCTTTTGGAAACTGGGAAGCACCGATGGATCGATTTCCATTGCTTTTTGGTTTCCCAATTTCTGATATACACTTGTTTTCCCCCACCAGGATTATGACGCAAGTAATGACCAGGGGACTTCACTCGCAGACAGGGAGATCTGTGCAATTATCGCCATGGTGGTTCTTTTGAAGAAGAGCCTGAATGAATCGAGACCAAGTCACATTTCTCCCAGGGCAGTGCATATTGCATCAATTTTTAATAGAACCCTTTACACTATCATGGACTTACTCGCTGTTTGCGGTTATCCGCTATCTTTTCCAGAGGTGAGGTGCTAATTGCTCATTAAATAATTTTGACGTTGCGAATAGTTCATTCATATCCTCACGAATACTTGGGGGAGATGTTACGGCCTAAGTAAAAAATTGCAGAATTCGGAGCGACAGAGAGTACGTGAGGAAATAAGGAATACCAAAAGCTGATGGGCATGTTTAAACAAAAAAGAGGGAGTTAATCTGCCAAATTGTACTTTTAGTTTTAAATAAAGAATGAAAAAAAAATTACAAAAAACAAATACACCGAAAAGAATGATTAATTAGCCTACAACATTTATTTATTTGCCTTGAATGTGGTTCCGAAACTTAACTTCATTCAACAGCTAGAATAATGGAATTTATACCCCTTTTCACGATTTTTAGAGTATTTTGAAAGTTAGAGTTGTTATTGCTAGAGTTTGATTGATTTGGTTTGACAAAATTTAAAAGTTTTAACTTTGAAATTTAAAATTTTCATTGAATTATGTACATTAATTATTTCGGGAAGTCGTTTATCAGATTATACATAGTCTTCTGCACGAACTAATTAGCAGCAATAATATGGCATAGAGGTTGTTAGTCGCAGAAAAGATAAATAAAAGGAGGGCGAAAACTATTTAAGCAAGTGAATCCAGCAAGCATAAATGACATGGAAAATATCTACGTAAGAAAATTTCAGCTGAAATGCATTCATAAAATGCTTTTTGTTGTAGTGAACTATTTAAAACACAGACGATACATTTAATACTATGAAAATAAAAGTCTAATGAATTCAGTTTCGTCAAGATTGACGGCAGTAGCCTGTCAAAAAAAAAAAAAAAAATTGGAGCACTTTAAAAACAGATAGAACGATTATTATGTAAACGCCGATTTTAACCCTTTTCCCTTCTTTCTTTCTAGCGACGATAGCTCCCAGAGGAAAACAAATGGTTACAAATCGATGGCTTAAGTGCGAGACCACGTATCTCCGTTTGAGACGTTGTAGACTTCGGTCATACTTCATTTTTCCCCTGGAAAACTAGTCAACGTTTCTTGAAAACTTCCTTGATTTTTCCTCTCTGTCGGTTAGAATATTCTGTATAAATTTCAAGCCATTAGATTGACTTAACCGTACTTATTCGAAAAATTACATTACAGAAGCGGAGATTTTGAAACTCCGCAATGGAGATACGTGGTGTCGCACTTTAGCCATCGATATGCTTAAAAATTTACCTATTGCACCTATGCTTATTTTTCCATTTTTAAAAAAACACTTATTTCATATGCTTGCAGACTTTTAGCTATCCGTATTTTGATGGGAAATTATTCCAGAGGAAGTACCAAGAGGCAATGACTGGAACAAAGGATCGAGATCTATGCCAAAATGAGGTGAGTACAGAAGATTGTGATAAAACCTGATAAATAAACCTCAAACACAATTTTTTTTTACGACGAAATATTCACGGTTTTTTAGTGACGAGAGAAAGGAAATAGTGCAGTTGCCAGTGTTTTGACAGCAAACTCCTCTCAGAGGTTCAGTGCAGTCGGCTATCTTTTTAATTCAGGCGTTGGCATGGCGTCGAATTGAGAAAAAAAGATACTGCGCATGTATGAATCTATGTACAGTAGCATATAGGAAGTCCCAAAGTAAGCTTGACTGTTCCTTTTGCACACGTAAGAGTGCATGTTTTGCTTTAATTACCTACTCACTTTTGATGAACTGATATCTGACGAGTTAACACACATTCTTCAAAAAATTCCTACGAATTGAAACATGCCGTATGGCGTATGAATTAATACAATTTGAAGAGGAAATACTCTGAGCTGACATCGATAGTACGGCCTGCATGAGTTTCGTCCCTTCACTCACATACATACAAGTCGCTTTACAGCACTCCCTCGCGCTCTACGACTCCTAACCTCCACTGCTCTCTTTCAAACCACAAATCTTGGGGGATTGAGCACCTTAACATTTCTGCTTCAATCCCTTCCCTCCAACCTTTCATTGGGCGCCCTCTGCGTCTTCTCCCAGGAGGAACCCAGTCAAGGACCTTCTTCCGAGGTTGCCGAAGAAGGTCCTCGTCCCTTCACTCGCTGTTTTTAAATGACGGACCCTGGCATAGAAAGACATGACTTGACCTGGAGGACTTAGGGATCTTTTCGAAGGTTTACATGCAGAGTTCTATGATGGTCCGGAATCCAGAAAAAATTACGAACACCATATCCAGCCTAGTGAGAAAACCTCTTATGTCTCTTACTCTTACAGGATTCTTGAGTTCGTATCTTGCTGTTGCAACAAGGCCTACCTCCTCTGATTTTGCATGCATTCTAGCATAAGAAAAATAACAACACACATTTCTTTCCTCAAAATACCCAATAAATCTTTTGATTAAAAGCGTCCATTTCATGATAAACTTTGTTTCTGAACACTCGGGAAACAACCGAATGATTTAACTCGCACAGCGTGTCAAAAACATGAATAAATAAGTAAAAATAAATATTAATTAAATAAATAAATAAATAGATAAAAGAATAAACAAAGAGTAAACGCACTCTCAATGAATCGAAGTACGGGCAACTGAAGTGCTGTGAAATTACGTCTATGTCACATAATGAAGTTCCTACTCAGTTGGTAATCTACGCAGTACAAGTTTCATTGTGATTTAAACACTAAAATTCCTCTCACGTTTTTTTCTTTTTTTCAGAATGATGTCATTGAAAAATTTGAAGCTGTGAGAGCCATTGTCTTTGAAGACGTGTAAGGCCCGACGACCCTCAATGTATATTTCCTGGGCCAAATATATTGAAAAATAATTCCCTTTTATGACAAATACTTTTTGTATTTAGAGTTTGTTATCTAATATTTGCACATTTTTGTATTATCAAGTATATTTTTGGATGTAAATAAGATGAAATGTATACACAGCTTATCAACAAATTTTTTATTACCTTGCGAAATAAATATTGCTGTGAATTTAGTATGTAGTTATCTTTTTTATCCTTTATTTACTTTGAGCAGTATGCACTGTCATTCTTGCGGTCACCAAGAATTACGAATAATCCCATTCAATTAATAGTTCTTTCAAATAATGATATTCTGGATTTGCCAAAACAAGAATAATAAAATAAGAAGTTATTAATAATTTAACACATGCAGTAACAAATTCTACAACTCATATAGCCAACAATAGGAAATTTCCAGCGATGACGAAGAGGTGAGGTTTTAATACGGGCGAGCGGGGAAGCCTTTCCCGCCTTGTTACAAGTACGATGGGCGGGAGCGGTGGGGTAGTGTAGCGGTCCGTCAATTCAAAATACCCGCGCAAAATTTGAGCGCGCATTCTGACACCGCCATCATTGTTGTTTACCTCACGTGACTTTCCTCTTATCATTATCAAACACGATAAGTAATGGTGCTTAGATAGCAGAAAGCAGACAATAAAATTGCATCTCTCGGCTTTCGTTCTCGGTCTCGGAAATCGGAATCTCAACTGTAGCAGAAACAAAGTACTGGCGCACGCGAATAAACTTCTCACGTTACAACAAAGTAAGCGGCGGATAACGCAATTCATACGATAAGTGCAGGCAGGTACCTACTTAGTGTGGTTTAGTTCGAGCAGCATTGACTGAGATCCTGGCATACAGGAATTAACTGTTCGAGACACTTCAAAACTTTAGTGGTGTTTGAGGGAACAGATATGCGTTGATAAGAAATGAGAGATTAAGTAAGTATATCCATTTTCTTGAAATTACCATTACTTAGTGCGGCTGTCAAGCAATCATAGCTGGTCTCAATGTTTCTTTTGATGCGAAACAAAATTGTATTAGGTACAAGTAGTTCATCTTCCCCCTAAAATTGTAGGACGTGCTTATGTACTGGTATTATTGCACTACGCAAAATTTCTGTTCAAAACACATGTAACCTAAAATTTCCCCAACCAATTTCTTAACAACAATTGATATCATCAGTGGATAAAGTAAACTGAAGGTGACTGACTACAGGTGATTTGATCCAGGCGAGGTCAAAGTGGCATGTCATATATTGTAAGTATCAGTGAAATTGATAAAACTAGCCAGATTTTAAATTGATTGTCATTAAAACAGCAATATATCTGGTAGATATGTGCTGAGATCAATGTTTTTGAGGCCAAATCCTGTGTTTATTTCTCCTAACTTCGCAATTTTTTATTGCAAAAGACTCATTAGACTAATGTACAGGGGCTATTCTCAATATTTTGACTAAAGCCTTAAAATTTGCCAAATTGTTTCATTTTAAAGATGTCCATACTTTGCACGCCAGTTTGAACACACCCAGAACATTTTACTTGTCACCCCTGATATTTTTGTTCTTAGCATCTACTCAAATCCAACAGGGGATGTTGGAGTTTTTTTAGCCAACAGGCATACAATTCAGCTTAAAGCTGATATCTCATTACAGAGGGAAAAAGCTCACACAGAAGCACAATTTTCCCTCAAAGAGATACGCTGTTCAGAGCAACAGTAGTTACGTCCATTCAGGAAGGCAACTGCACACACGTTTCGGCCTTGCCGTTTGTGCAAATCCAAAACGTAGTGCGTCATTCAACCGCAACTTACTTAAATATTTTCACTTTGTAGATGTGTACATTTTGACTAAGTAAATTGCTCCTGCAGGATGAGCCCATATTAGGTCCTGACAGAAATTTCCCATTTACCCATGCACTCATTGTAAATAATAATGCTATTCCTTCTAGAAGAAGCATGACAGTTTGTTATTTTGCAACTTAAAAGGTTGACTTTGTAGGTACATAATCAGAAAAAAATTGCTCTAGAAGGACTATCAAGAGCAAAGATTTTTTTTCGAGTGAAAATTTAAGACAGTTTTCTCCAAAACACTTTCGCCTCATAGTCCCCTCTCATAAGTCTCCCCTCGACCCCACAGTTAGAAAGAACAAATATGTTCTCAAACTTTGGAGCGCTACAGCTCTGCAGGGAAAATGCATGTTACACTCAAATGAACCACAACTGAAAACCCAAATAAGCCAAGTACGTTTAGCTATGGTGTCGGTACCTCGACCGGGCTGTGCTGTGTTGCCAAGGGTTGGAGGATTGGTTACTTGCATGGATGTGGCTACCGCCACTCATGATAAGTCTCATTTTTACCCAAGGCATCAAATTCTGTAGTCTCTCTTTTGCATCCTAAATTACACAGAATATCAGAGGTTCTAAGAGCAACCATTGGCGCATGGTGGAAGTTTATCACCGTATTAGCTTTTTAAAGCGAACTAAACTCTATTGAATGCTTTCAGAAATCAACGGGCATTCAAAGAAGACCTTTGACACTCTACTAATGTCAATCAAAGAACAGAACTGAAGTAAAATGGGTGTAAGAGGTTTGCAGACTTTTATTGAGGATTACAGCCCTCCTGAATGTTTTGCTCTTGTGAGCATCAAACAATTGGTCGAGGAATTTCGGTAAATAAAACTATATGTTTGCTTGTTTTTCAATGTTTCTGTATTCACTTTTATAATGCACCTTCAAAGTCTTTTAATCTTAGCTCCATTGATCATTTTTACAAAAAAATGCCCTCCTAGGTAAGCAGATGCAACCCTCCCTTTAGTTTAGAAAAAACTCGAAAGAACTCTCTGAAATTATTTTCAGGGCAAAATTAACATTTTTTAAACTTAATTGATAATCATAAAAATTCTGCACAATCAGATAGAGGAGGCGCAAATAATATTTTTGTTTTTTCTTTTTCAAAGTAATTTCCTAATGACAACTCTCACCTTCAAAAAATTCATCAAATTCACCTTCTTGTATTGTGGGAAAAAGAAGAAGTGGGAATTCTGTAGACATTTTTCATTTTCATCTTCAAATGGAATTCCATTTGTTTCAGTGCGGAAACAGGTGAACTCAACCCAAAAATTGTATTCGATGGATCATCAACAATGCGGTTTATATATGGAGATCTTGATTGGGTTTCTGGTGGCCAGATTAAGCAGTTCTTAAAAAAAATTGAAGATTTTGTAAAAGCCTTCACAAAGCTGGGTGTTCGCCCTGTGTTTTTTTTCGGAGGGTATGGCGCTGATTTCTCCTCTAGGAAAGGATGGTTTATGCGGTGCCGTGATAAACTTAACAAAGTTAATACAGTGTTTCATAAGTTAGCAAATGACACTTTGACTAGTGAATTGGAACCATTTTTATTTGTCATGCCGACCAACATTGGTTTTTCACATTATTTTCGACAAATTGAAGGCTGTGAGGTGAGTTCAAGTGATTTTCTGCATAATTTTCTCGACAGTGCAACTGTTCCTGGAGCGAGGTCAGGATACAAAATGTTTCAACTGTAGGTGAAATTTTCAAAGTTGGAAGCTACAATAGTAAACATGAGACAGAAAACTGTTTGATGCAATTTGAGGCTTATGAACTTGGAGGTTTCACTCATCGTTAAAATATTTCTGTTCACCACCTCGTTCCTACAACAGTTGTTTAAACGAGGCCAGGCCTTGGGCCAATATTAAAACTATAAGTCTCTTGTCATGCGCGGAGATTTTCTGCCCTTAGTTGTAACATTAATCACCAAGCAACATTTGAGGTTGAAGACCTTACTTTAAACTGGAAGACTTGGATACATCTTAATCCTTCAAATTTGATGTGCGTTTATCAGGGAGATTTTTTAGACTTCTCCATAAATGTACAGCATGTACAAAAAATAGCTAAGATAAGTCCAACATGACCTCGAAAGGTCAAGATTCAGCAGTCAACCTAGGACTATGTCAATGATGGGGAGAAATGAGCATTGATTTACCCATTAAACAAAGACATCCACTTTGATTTTCACACTGAACTGAAATTACAACTTGAATCAAATTCTGAGAAGATATTGCTGAGAGACTTTGAAATTATGAATCTCAATTTATGGTGCATTCAAGAAAGTATTAAAAAACTGTTGGTAATAGAAGATAAATTAAAAAATTCTGCACTTATTTTGAGTCCATCCATCTCAATTCCTTTCCATTACAAAATTGTAAAAACTTACTGCCTTTTGAAATTTTAAGTTCTGAAGAGTGCTGTTTTCTCATGAGGACTTTACTTAATTGAAAAATTTGAGAAGATAGAAAAATGAAACGAACTTTAGTGTTAGGATTAGCCCCTTTTTACCATTGAGCGTAAATTATTTAATTAGCATTATGATTTTTTGACTTGATGCAAGTATAAAGTAACCGCCTTTTTTCATTTTTCATCACCTGCCTCCCCCCCCCCCCCCCACTTTAAGAAAGCATCTTCTGTAACTTGAAACTAGATTCTTTTTAGGTCTGATGTTGAGTTAAGCCCTTTGCCTGTTTACATCTATTTTCCAAGAAATATGACCCAAAACTTGTTCACTCGCCAAAAGATTTTTTGTGTTTACTTCAGATTATGTGCCGCACGCCTTAAATCCTACTGTAGATGCAAAACATCACACTCGGGCATTTTATCAGCAAGATTCTTGGTATGTCATGTGAGAAAGCCAATAATTTGGTGAAACTCAAGGGTATCATAGTTTCTTGTGATTAGAAAATTTCTCTATTTCGATTTTACCTGATGACCTATTCTAAATTGTTTAAAATTTGATTGTAGGTTCACAAAGGTCTTACAGACTGTGATTCTGAAATAGCCCATTATGCGAGAGAAAACAACTGTCTGGCAGTATTTGGACAGGATTCAGAATTCATAATCTATAAGAGTGTAAAATACTACTTGTCAGCGAAACATTTCAACATGGCCAGGATGGAAACTCGGATTTACAACAGAGAGCACTTTGCTGATTTTCTAGGCATCCACTCATCTCAACTTCCGCTTTTTGCCACCTTAGCAGGAAATAATACAGTCAATTATTTCAAGGATTTAAGGGTAATCTCAACTAAAATTTAATCATTTCATTACGAAAAATATTTTTGCCACCATTACACTTGAAATCGCTCAGGATTGAGCTTTATTTCTTAAGTTTATACATTCGTACGGTCAATATTTTATAGTTTAAGTGCAAATCTCTTTTAGTTTTGCACAAATGCCATGTTAATATCAACTCTCGGAAGTGTATCAGAAACAAGATGAACAATTCAGGGTCCTAAGAGGACAAAAATATTTGAAATTCATCTTTAAGAAATAAATGAAGAAATATGAAATGGAATGAAGGAATGATCATGGATATTCGTATTTATTTCAAAATGTCTGGCTTTATGAGACCTTTAAATCTGTGTGTGCACATCAACAAAATACTGAATTAAAGCTTCTGACGTTAATTTTCCTTTAAAACCACTGTCTTTTTCACCCTTCAAGATCTTTCACTTTAATGGAATGAAGAGTCATTTAGCCACTGGTTCAGACAAATCTGGAATGGGCCTGTTGCAAACTTTTTCTTGAGCAAAAATAAGAGTTGTTCCTTATAGATAATGTCTCAAAAATCACGGTGAGCGCATCGGCAAACTCTGAAATGCACTCCTAACTTCACAATCTGCGCAAGAAATTAGCGTTATTTTAAGCTTCTGAGCACTGAGAGTTTAAACCTTCCTCCTTAACGTTTTCTGGGTATCAAATTTTCAAAATAAAAAGGAGTTTTTAAGAAAATCAGAGTACAAAATTGGAGCAAAGTATCTGATAGAATAAGCTTTGACCTGATTTGCGCGTTATCCTTTAAAATAGGTAGGCACAGTTGGTCTTAAGCAAACTCTTTTTCTTGTTTCCATGGTGGGAGGATAAAAAGTCACCCTTTGTGGTGACAACGGTTGATAACATACTTTTTGTAGCTGACACTTTATTTCAGAAGAGTTTTGAAAAATTGTCATTGTTTGTGACTGGCAATAATGTTCTAGCTGTCAGGCATGCCTTTAATTTTGAGAAAACAAGCTCACAAAACGTGACTTCATTAAAAACTACTTTTTTTCTGTTTCTGTCATTAGCATTTTCATCGGTCACTGTGTAATATTAGAGGAGGAAAAGTGCGCTTTGAAGTTTTGTTTCCTGCTCTATCGGAATATATTAAAAAACTGCCTCGTGGTAGAGCTCTCTTCGACGTTCTACCAGACATTGCTCAAGAAGTCCTCCAGGATTCTAAGAAATCTCCACTCCTTGCAATGAGTATACGGAATTACATAGCTACACCAGAAACTTTTTTACGTGAGTCATAGTATGAATCGAACACATAATTTGGAGGAAACTAATTTTGAATAGTTTTTCATCCCGATTTTCTACACGGAAAAAAAAAGAATTGCTGATTCAGCAATTCAATTGCTAAAACAGTGAGTGCAATGTTTCAACGCAGATTTTACAACAAAAAAATGCTACTTTAACCACATTGTAAACTAATTTAACCAAGGGGGTGGTTAAAGTAGCATTTTTCTGTTGTAAAATCTGCATTGATACATTGCACTCACTGTTTTTAGCAATTGAATTGCTGAATCAGCAATTCTTTTTATTTCCGTGTATGTTCATCCAAAGAGAATTATTTTAAATTATCACAAAGGAGAAATAAATACTTAGTGAAGCCCTGAGCCTGGTCCTGCTATGACTTGGACATGCACCGAATGTATGAAATAAAAGACACTAACTTTCGAACATGCATCATCTCTTGAAGTAAGACATGGGAAAAAAAGTGTAAAGAAAATTGAAATTGCTTACTTGACCGATTCTCTTTTGAGGGGAAATAAACATAGGTATGTGCATATTCTTACCTGCAACAAAAGGAAGAAAAGAAATAATTATCAATGAGTAACAGATATTTTTTTATAAAGTAAGACAGAAGATTCCAAAATTCGTGGTCCTCTAGATAATCCTTGTTATCTTATGTTACTTTGTTTCTTAATACCCTTGTAAATTTAATTCATGCAGGCAGATGCAGAGGCATAAAGTTCTTGTACTGTAGTATAAATATTTTTTTTAAAAAAAAAAAATTAGAAAAAAACTTTAACATTCTTATCGTGGTTGATGATTGGGTACATGGTTTTAGAATAAGTCTGAGGATTATCTACTCGCAGGAATTTTAAAAAGATATGAATGAATGTGAACTTTTTTTTCTTTCTCCTTAGTTTTGAACTTTTTAGAGGGTTTCAAAAAGTTGGCTCTTGGAATTTTGGACAAGCTAAAACAGCAGAACTTAAAGACTCAAGGGACTAAAGTTATGAGATTATTATCTATTTATCTAAAAACATTTCTCAAAATTTGCATTTATCTCATCAAATATGCATCTTCAAAAATTGGTTGAGGCTTACTTAAAGTATTTTTGGCTGGCTAAAAAGGTCAAGAACATGGAAGGATAATGATTTCCGATTGAATGTCTTTATTTTCAAGCATATACCATTTAAGAGGAGGAACATTCGTTGTGTACAAGATGTTGGGCACAGCTGGGTGACTAAAGGGAGAGACAAACAATTCAAGATTTCCTGTTTCTTTATTTTCTTGCAGCTGCACGTATTTCTGAGCATCCAGAATGGAACGCAATATTGGAGGTTGCAGAAAAGTTACATAGAGCAGATATAAATTCAGCAATCATATTAAAAATCATGCTTGGGGATGGTTTTGGATCCTCTGCCGGGTTTGAAGACTTTCGGAAAAATGATCTTCCTCCAGCAATGAGTATGCTACGCACCATGAGAAAAAGATTCTATGGCATTATTTTGATGGAAAAACCAGCTGACGTAGAACCCGAGATAGTGGAGGAGTGGAGTGTGGAGGGAAACTCCAATATAGAAAAACCTTTTACAGTTTGGCCAATTTTACCCACAGGTAAGTTATGCTGTGATTTATTTTCTGTAGCATCTAACAAAAAAAGCCCTAAATTCTGCGCATGAAACCTTCTAGCAACCAGCAAGACTTTGCTCAGAAAGATTAGACGGGAGTAATTGGCAGTTGTTAAGAGTTATCTAGAGGAATTTTTTAGAGAATTTTGATTATTTGTATGAGGAGGTATGTAGAAGAGGAACACAAATATAAGGAGAAAGGGGCTGAATTAGTAAGCAGGTAATGTACCTGCACAAAGCTGTAAAAATAAAAGGCTCCCTACAATAATTTTTTTTATTCAAGATCATTCACTCGTACTTGTATGTAAAGTTGATCAAAGGAAATAAGAGATCGTTGATCTATTTTCACAGAATATTGAATTTTTTCTCATGTTATAGGCTTGGCTCAGAAAATGAATGCACACTCATAACATTCTTTGTATTTGTGACAAGCGCACCACTAATTCTTTTTCCATTCTAGATCGTCATCCAGGATTATTGGCACTTTGGGGTGATGACCGATCGCAGGAAATGGAAATGATTAGATGGCGATTATTTGTGCATGCCGTGTCTCCTCGGCTTAATCCTGAAGAAGTAATGAACCTACCTGAGCATTTGGTTATTCCAGTTGCTGCCCTTTTTTACATAGAGGTGAGCCAACTTTGTAGTAAACAATGGTTCAGTTTTTAAAAAAAACCCAAAATTTTTCCAAGATTCTTTTTTTTTTATCAAATTTTAACTAATAACTTGCCATCACTGAAAATTGAAACCCACAAATTCCAAAGATATTTTCTTTTAGATGATGTTGGATGTCAAATCCTAACATGGAAGTTCATGAACAGAATCATTGAAACCAGAGACCAAAACCGATGGAATGAGTGAACAGTAGCAAACACAAACTGCTTGATAATAATGTACAATGTTGCCCTTAACATGCGGAGTCAGCTTGAATGATGTCTTTACTTGGTTGTATACTGGAATGTCCTCTAGAGATTGTGCTGCTGCCCCCAGAACAAGGGACTGAAGTCTATGGTGGTGATAATTTCAGCGGAACAATTTTTGCCAATTAGGGTTGAAAAATAAAATTTTGATTTGTTGATGAAAAACTCTCCAGTGTCCTAAATAATTATTAATAAGCCGTTTACTTTATTTTTGTGCCAATGGAGCAAGTAAAGTGGCATAAAAGAAAGGCTTGTAAAATTGTAGTTACGAAGAATTGTAAAACTACATTTTTTAAAATGATGTTTTTAAACCGTGAACTTCAAACCGACATGACTTCAGTTTGGTTTGACTTTTCCAAATCGACGGTGTAAGTCGGCAATCACATAACTCAGTTTGCGACGTTGCAGACTTCCTGTCATACTTTATTTTTTAAAAAGAAAACTACTCAGTGGCAGTTCTTTAAAACTGCCGTGATTTTTCTTCTCTGTTTGATGGAAATTCTGCATAAACTACAAGAAATGATGTCAATTTGTTCTTTTTTAAAAAAATAACATAGAGGCGGAGATTTTCAGACACCTTAAACGAGATATGTGATCGCGGACCTGCGCTGTCGAAATGTGTTTTGTCCTCAAATACAAGATAAATTTTGCTTCTATTTGATTTAGTTCTCTGTATTCAAAATAATGGTGTCTTTATTTATATGTTTCACTAATCAAAGGAGCAAGATTTTTTAAAGCCATGGGAAATAGAGGCTTTGCTGGCGGTGGCTGTTACGTTGCCTTCAGAGTCACTTGATCGCCTAGCTGACCTGTCTTCAGATCCAGTAAATTTACGAGCCATTCGTGTTGCTACCATTTACACACGCACGCTATGTGCCGTTATTCGGTTAATCACTCTTTGCGGTTATCCTTTACCTGCTTCCAAGGTACGTAAAACTAGGTCGCAAAAATCAGTACTCTCTCAGCATTTTTTCAGTATATACTTCCCAAAAAAATTAAATTAGGAAAATTCAGCACTATTTCAAAACAGAAGAAATTCGCCTGTGAATGGCGGAAAAATGACGTAGCTAAGAAATTCAAAGTTCATCCGTGTCCTGAAGATCAACTAGCTAAACAGTCGCGCTTTAGAGGGCAAATACTGCTCTGAGAATCAATGCGCGAAGGATTGCATACTGTTTCTAGACTATATTGAAAAACAAGTATGAAATGAAGCAAAAAATTCTGGACGTTTTGCAAAATTCCAGTACTTTTTCAGTACTTCTGGACTGCCCTCTCGGAAGCAATACAATATCTGGACTTCCCGGAGTAGTAGGTGGATACATTGACTTGAGAAAGAATTCTTCGACCACCGGTTTCATGAATGATTGAAAATTTTGTCATTTAATCTGGAGCTACACAAATACATAATTAATTTTATTTGTATATGTATTTGCAGGCTTTTGCTCATGCTTATTTTGACGGAAAACTTTTTCAACACATTTACAAAAATGCCACGTATGGAGTGTCCCAAGAAGTTCTTCTCGAAGATCAGGTAAAATTGAGTCAAGTTAACTTGAAAGTGTCATTTTTCTTTATAATGAGGTACTTGAATGTATTTAAAGATATACCTTTACTTTAGAACTCTTACATTGTATGTTGAGATGAAAGTCAAAGCTTGTCGACTCTCATCAGCAGTGTCATTAGGGCTAATCATACATTCACATGTCTCTCGACAGATTACAAGCTAAATCTAGATATACACTAAATTTTTTCCTCATATTCACCTATTTTCGTGTCGTTCAACCATCCCTTTTTCATGTGGATATCTGAGTTGAGAGAGGAAAAACGAACAAAAAATTGTTGGTCGATTACAGCCTCAATGATCTACAATCATTATTATCACCTCCAATTTGTATTTTTCGTGTAAAGAATATTTATTCCCAAACCCAAGGTTTCTAATCATAGAATTGGGCAATCGATTGGCCAATCAAACAATTTGGCAGCTGCGACAACCAACACAGTCATATCATGGATAACAGTCTTATGAGCAGACGCATCATACAAGATTTCTTTTTTACATATGTTCATACAACAAGGATTCAAAACTTAAGACTTTCCAGTAAAAAACTTACTTTACCAAATTAAAATAAAATTGGAATTGATGTTGGTGTTGATTATTTCTGTCAGCTTGGTGATCAGTTTGTTGTTGGCAAAATAATGTTTTAATCTTTCTTCATTACAGGCCTGTCATGTACAACAATTCCGAGAAGCAAAGCAACTATTATTCAAGAACTCCACCAGCAGAAAATCATTCAGAGATGCTCATGAATGATTATTTGCCTCCTAATCTCATCTTGGCTTGTTCAGTATTTTAAGAAGAGATGATCATTGATTGCAACTTTTTTTTTCACTTGCTTTAAACCTACTATTTATCTCCTTTGCAATGATCATTGCAATTATACCATTGCAATCTATATTTTGTTAATGTTTTGGAATAGAAATATTAATTTTGTTACATTAATTTTTTTTTTTTTAAAAAAAAAAAAAAAAAAACTTATTTGAGAATTAGTGCCCATTGGTGTTTGTTACCTGGCAAGAAATGGGCAAATTTGTCCAAAGTTACCGTGTGCTATGGCAGATGAAATGAAAAAGTCAAATCAAACGGTGAATGGAATTTATGAATTATTTATCTCTTCTTGACCTAGGCACTAATTTCATTACAACTTGCTCAGTATTTTAAGACATGATTGTTCACTTTAACAATTCTTTTTATAACTTTTTGCTTCCTTCTTACTTCTTTTGAAACTACATATTGTTTTGTAGATTTTCCTTATGTTTTGAAGCTGAAAATTTTAGTTTTTCTTTTTCAAATAAAATATTTATGAAACAGTTACAAATTTGATTGTTATTCAGTCTGAAATGGACAAACTTCTTCACAGACAGACACCTCTAGAGTCAATTAAATGAAATGGTTGCATTATGAATCTTAAATTATAATGCCTAGGGGTTATTTTTCCTCTTCACTCAATAGATCAAACTACAGAGTTCAAACATTGGCTCCACATGGTTACTCCCTTTATATTCGAAAGAGTTTGCTTACCTACTTACATTAGTTAGAAAACTCTTAAGTTTTTGGTTTTGGAACATTTGCCTTTCATTTTCTTTTTTGCTAGCACCTCATTATGTCAAGTTCAATTACCTTTTTATTTCTTTATTTTTCTTTGGTGGGAGAAAGTGGTTATAAGACCATCTTTATTCGTCGTTCAAAGAATCAAATCCAACTTTGCACATTCAACTACGGCAAGCTAGGTACATTGACAAGATCTTTTCAGAATTCTTAACAGTACTCATACTACCATGCTATATCGCCGTTTGAACATTCGAGAGTTGCCAAGTTTCCTTCAATAAAATGTTTCTTTGGGAGAAAAGTTATGCATATTTTCCTTCAAATTTTCAGATAATTAAGATTAAAGAGCAAACAATATTGGCTGCAAAACTGAGAGACACATTTTAACAACTTTCCCAGCAAATTCGTATTTTATCAGGAGAAGTTTGGCAGCGCCTGAAGGTTCATACGGCGTTTTTTCTCAGAACGGCGGTGTAGGGAAGAGCACCATGTGAGTCTCCAGATGTTGCCAGATGACCTTCGATGGAAAACAAATCTTCTGGGCTACTTGTAAACATACTTTTGTTCAATCTTCTCAATGGATTTTCTGCAAGAGTTGACTTCGAGTATACGATTCCAAAGAAAAATATTGATAACTTATCTCAAAAATAAGTACATCTTTGAGGGAAATTTGGCAACATTCGGATGTTCATGCGGCGTCAGTCTTTAGCCTCTCGGTAACCGCGAGCTCACGCGATGAGCGCAGATCCTTCGTATTCCTGCACTGACTTAATGAAAACAAAAACAGCAACATTGTAAGCAGAATTCATTATCTATTTGTAGATTGATTGAAACCAAATGACCTCCAGGGGTAATGGTTCAACCTATTTTGGATACTCGTCAACATAAATCAAAGATGCGCGACACGGCTTGGACAATAATTGCTCTACCATCATCAGCTTCCATGAGAATTCCGTAAAATCTTAATTTCATTAATTAGGGCTTTGTCAAAAGATTCACGGGCTCTGTAGATTAATTCATGGCTTTGCAGATAGATTTATAAGGCCTTATTGGCGATCAAGTCACGATTTTGTCGATCTATTCACGGTTGTCGATCAAATCGCGTCGATAGGTTCAAATTTTTGTTTTCAATCGATTCAACAATGGTTTATTTTTTTTCAAATTAATTGTCGATTAAATCGCGTCGATCGGATGAAGTTTTTATTTTTCGATCAATTCATGTCGATTGAATCCATGCCCGCCGTGTCGTTATGGTAGGCGATGTAGGTATGCGTGTAGAATTTACGAAAAGATAAATCATTACTTTACAAAATGACCTCCAACGCAGGTTCAGAAAATATTTTCCTGTTCCTTATTCGCGAGAGTAAAATGATGAAAAAAAACCCATTATTTTCATTGTGAGTTCACTAATTGACCTTGAGTACATACGATTCAACGATAAAACTATGTAGACATAGGTCTCGGCTATGCGCTTTTTCAAAATTTTCGCCCCCTCTTTATTTGCAAAAAAAAAGGGGGGAATACTGGACATATTTGCACGAAATTTCCTTGAAAGGGCCAATCATAATTGTAAAACATAATGACCAGTTATCCTTTAAAAAATTGTAGCATTTGCAAAACCATTCTGTAAAAAAGAAAAAGTTGTCCCGTTTTTCAGCAATAAGTATTATCACAGTATTACCAAATCAGCGGTAGGGAGCTCGTTGGGCAATAAGACACGGATGCATCCGTCAAAAAATGGAAATAGAGCAAAGGTATGGAGGCGCGTTGATGACGGCGCAGAGATACAACTATTCGTACTTGATGGATGTCCGTGCTGCATCTGAAAAATTGAAGGCGCGATGACGCGAGGCGAGGAATCGAAATACTCTGCTTGCAATGCTCCGCCGTCGCGCCTTCAATTTTTCAGATGCAGCACGGACATCCATCAAGTACGAATAGTTGTATCTCTGCGCCGTCATCGACGCGCCTCCTTTCCTCCACTCCGTTTCCGTGTAATGACGACTCCGCTTGTATTATTTGTAGTTGTAAAGAGGTACATGAGCGACACATTCGAGGATAGGAGCGACAAAATCGGGCCCCGTTTTTAATTTTTCTTTCGGGTTAATTTGACCCGGCTTGGGCATCTGGAGGTTGAAGGAAAACTAGTTGACAGTTCGCCTTGTTCTCTGTGAATTTTTTTACTCAGCCTGCAAAAAGTCACACAAAATGGACCACTAGACAAAGTACGAATTTTAGCATTCTGATTTATGTTTCTAGACCAAAATTTCACACGATGCACGAACACGATGCGCACAGCAAAAATTACCAAAATCAACTCCTTACGAAGATATACAATGATTCTTGATGCGTGAATTCAAACCATCCGCTCATGAAAACTCAATGCTCTACGTGATTCACATCGTGCGCTAAACGTTATCATGACAGTCTTTGCGATATAAAAATCTGGCAACGTCGATCTGGAAGCTTTGGCTCAGCTGTAGCAAATTGCTTATAGTTTGAACAACACATGGTGAGAAATGAACATTGCTCGATTGAGAAGCTAGCTAAAACCGTTGTAGTGCGCCATTTGACTTACGTAAAGCTTTGAGTTTCTTGTGAGTGGGCGGTTCAAATTCCTTGCAACCAGTGTGAAATAAAAACGTTAATATCTTCGTTCGGAGTTGGGTTCAGTAATTTTCGTTGCGCGAATCGTGTTCTAGGTGAAATTTTGGTTAAGGAACGTGGATCAGATTGCTTAAATTCGTACCTTGTCTAGTGGTCCATTGCAAGGAAACAGTTGAATCAGTTTTCCTCGATGGAAATACTGCCTCAGTAAAGAGATGTGTCTTTGGTAAAGAGGAACAAGCCTCCAGACGTTGCAATATTTCCTTCAATAAAAAACAAATTTACAAGGAGAATTATGAAAATTTTTCTTTAAATTTTGTTGACAAGATTGTTCGCACTTTAATTTACAATAGCTGCAAATTTCAAAGCAATAATTTCCAATACATGTTTCGTCCGGGAAAATTTGGCAGCTCCTGAATATCCATACGGCGTTCTTCATAAGCACGGCAGAACGAAACACAATCGGAGATTTTTAAACGTTGGAATTGAGGTACGCATGTTTCGCATTTAGCTATCGATCGACACATAACTTTGATGATGATGACCATTGAGTGCCGAAGATTCTACCGGTGGGAGAAGAGGGTTTGGTGAAGGTGAGTTTAGAGGTGGATTTAGTGAGGAGAGATAAGTGTGGCGAATTCCGTGCTGCTCTACCGTACTAAAAGTCTAAGAGCAGTAATTCCGTTTGCTGCCGAAAGTTCTTCGCTTGCAAACTATAATTCCGCTCGTTTAAAGAATAAGTAAGACACACTTTACACAAATGCCAAAATTGAAACGTTTACATCGATGAATGACGGGGGCGAAAATTTGAAATAGGCCCCATACTTGTTCCTGGTCTTTTATTAACATAAAATTGTGTTCTACTCCTATTTTTTTAGCCTCAAGATAGAATTTTGATACTCATTAAGTCCGTCACAAATTCTATAAAACTGGGACCATGTACGTTTTAAGATCCCAGAAACCATCCACACGTCAGATAACGCAACTTCCGGGGAAAATGATGAACTCCATTTTTCAACTTCATCTACTCAGAAAATAATGCCCCCTGTTAGAAATTTTCGCCCACACAGATAAAGTTGCGACCTCCGCATGCAATAAGAATCCACATGTTGAGACCACAGCATTCATTTGCGTTTTACTGCAAGATGGAAATCCTATATGTACTCTTATTACTGCTGACTGACTCAGCAAAGTGCTGATTTGTGAACTGCGTGCCTTTTTTCAGGATCGAAGTCAACGTTTTGTCCACGGTGCTGCCGGCGCACAGTGGATTGAGTCAATCAGAGAGTTCGGTTATGAAATTTTTAACTAAAATTGAAAATGCTGATGTTCAACTCGTCGCATTTTGAATTTAAAGGGGTGCACCTGGGGGAACATTTCACGAGGAAACCAGTGGCGCCACTTTTAGAACATAAAAGTTTTGTATAAACGGAGTTATGAGCTTTTAAAGTTTCCATATTATGTCCGACCTCTCCTATTGGCTCGATCCACTGTGCGGCGCGGCGCCGGCCGCGTCGTCACAGAAGGTGACTCACTTTCGGGGATCCAGGACTCTCGGGGAGGGAGAATTCCTTCGATTTTCGGTAGGTGATCAGGCCTATCGATTGAAGATTTGCAGACGTCGCCAACGCCAACCTTTAGAAAGGGGATGGCGTAAGGCGTCAAGTAGCGTTATCACATATCCGTGAGACTGTGACCTTCGACCCCCTCCATCCTAACGACAAGTGGCTGGTATAAGCTGTGTGCCTCACAGTTGAAAAATTTGATCAGTGAATCGGACCTCTTCTCGCTGTATGGTATGAGCTGTGTGCTTTAAGTCACAGTTTTTGATCAGTGAATCGGACCTCTTCTCGCTGTATGGTATAAGCTGTGTGCCTTGAGTCACAGTTGAAAAACTTGATCAGTGAATCGGCCCTCTTCTCGCTGTATGGTACCGCTTGTGCGCATAGTGTTTGTTGTGCTCCAGAATCCAGATCATCTGCCTCACCCGGTAAGTTCTTATCCTAAGCCGGCCGGACATTACTGATTCGAAGTTGGGTATTTTTCGGTAGTGCAGAATATTATTTGAGTTTTGACGAATGTAAGACAGTAAATTCTAGATACGTTAAGTACGGATTAAAGGATACTCATATTTATGCAACGTCTCCCTGATGACACTAAATACATTGACCCGCATGCATTTCTGTCACATTGAAAAGAAAGCTTCTTGCTGACATGAAATTAAATATTCGCGAAAAAGAGAAAATTGTAGAAGAGCAGCAAAAAATTCCACGATAATTAGGAAAATTGTGATTGCGCGAAAATTTTGCCTGCCTTACTGTCAGATAAAATTGGGGCTACAATTCACAATTAGGAACTACAATTTCTGAATCATCTTTAAAACACATATCGACGGTGCAAGTCGGCAATCACATAACTCGTTTGCGGTGTCTGAAAATCTCCGCCTCGATGTTATTTTTTTAAAGGAGAACTAATTGACATCATTCCTTTAAGTTTTTGCAGAATTTTCTTCGCACAATGAAGAAAAATCATGGCAGTTTTAAAGAATTGCCGTTGAATAGTTTTCCGTTTAAAAAATGAAGTATGACAGGAAGTCTGCGACGTCGCAAACCGAGTTATGTGATTGCCGACTTGCACCGTCGATATGTCTTTCAGGAAACTTATGGTACGTACAATAAAAAGCAATTTAAAAAGCGGGTGACAAGGGTAAAATTTCACGAAAAAAACCAAAACGTTCCGGATGAAAACTCAGCCTTCCTCAGTTGGTAAAAATAGTAAAAAGAAAAATGGTAAAAATCTTAAATAGTACCTGGCTATACCTTTCAAAGCGAGAATGTTGTTTGAAAGGTACAGCCAGGTACTAGTTTAGATGTTTACCATTTTTCTTTATACTAATTTTGCCAACTAAGGAAGGCTGAGTTTTCAGCCGAAACGTTTTGGTTTTATTCGTGAAATTTTAGCCTTGTTACCCTCTTTTCAAATTGTTTTTCATTGTATATCGACGGTGAAACTCCCAAACCACGTATCTCGTTTGTGGTGTTTAAAAATCTCCGCTCCTATTATTACTTTTTTTCTGAAAGCGAATCAACATCATTTCATGAAGTTTTCGCAGAATTTTCTTTGCACAGAGCAGGAAAATCACAGATATTTTAGAGAATGTACGTTGAGTGGTTTTTCTATCAAAAAATAAAGTATGACAGTAAGTCTGCAACGTTGCAAACCGAGATACGTGGTTTGGGAATTTCACCGTCGATATCTTGTCACGGACTGCGGAGCGTTAACCATATCTACTGATGGTACATACGTTGTTTTAACTGAGTCAGAAATTTTAGTTCCTTGTTGCAAAATTTAGTCCAATTAGACTTCAGCTCGCTAAGTTTTACAATTCAGCTCGTACCTAGTGATCAATGTTTAAACAATTTGGCGGCTCCTTCGGAGCATGCAGCAGCACTCGGCTGAAATTGCGTTTTTCAAAGGAAAATTTACAACTAACTAAAACAATATTACCATAAAATTGAAACATTCTGTTAGTATTTGACTGATTCGCCACTTATCTTCAATTGAACAGTAGTAATATGATGATGCAATTACTATCCTCTCGGCGATCAATTATGTATACTTGAGTGGCTAAACATTTAAAGGTGTCATATCTTTTTGGGTTGTCCTCGCACACAAAACACACACATTCTCAAAAACGTACTATCCACAGTTTGTTCATCGCGACACAGAAGAACCTGCATGGCTTCCTTTGATAATAGACTGTACTTTTGTACCCCCAGCTCTTGACAACAGTCCAAATAAGTGCGGATGAGCATTTACACTAAAATACATACTAGGTTTTGAAGTTAGGAACCATTAGTTCTGACTCATTTTGGAAACAACGTAATCTCCATGGATTTCCTTATGCGGATACGTGATTTAATGGATGTGCTGGTTCCTTATTGCAAAATTTAGTCCGATTTGCTGTCGAAACGCGAAATGCAACTATCCTTATACGTCATTGTCACCCAAGATCCATAGAATAATAAATAGGGCCATAGAATAATAAATAGCTAGTTATTATTCTATAGCAGGGCACAACAGCAACCGGCAGTATGTAGCATGTTACGTTCAATGAGGTTTGCGAGTCAATTTGGTACGGCAGTAAGGATCTGAGCATTGATTTTAGTCAGGGGCGGACTGGTCCAGAAGGGCGATAGCCCCCTCATAAGATTATCTTAAGTTTGACGATAATGAAGGACCTCTTTTGGTCTTTTTTATGAAATTCCACGAGGATAATGGGGTGTTCTGCCATGCGACGGAAAAACGCCGTATGAACATTCGAGAGTTGCCAAATTTCTTCGGATGAAATTTTTCCTCTGGAGGAAACTCACGCATATTTTTCTTTGAAATTTTCAGATAATTTAGATTAAAAAGCGTACAATTTTGTCTAAAAAATTGGAGGAAAAATATTCACAATTTTCCCGGTAAATCCGTAATTTCAAAAAGGAAATTCGGCAACGCTTAAAGGCGCATACGGCGTTTTTCCTTCGCACGGCAGTATTTAGGAACCCATTTTCATTTTATGGAGCAATTTTTGAAGTTTGACCAAGTTTCAAAATTTAAGAAACTCTGCAGGAGCCTTTGATAGACTTGATCTATTGCTCAACCTATTCTGATCATTTCTGAAAGGCCCCGTTGCTAAACGTAGGGAGGTGTTGACAGGGCCGGATTTACCAATAGGCTTCATAGGCTGTAGCCTAGGGCGCAAAATATTTGAAAATTTAATTGTTTTTTTTTGTTTTTTTTTTTTTTAATTTAACGAGTCTTTCGTTACTTTTTATTTTCCAAAACCAACTTGCAAACGTAAACGTACCTCAAAACTGATTAAAATAGTGTTTTCTAAATGTGAATTAGAACATTTTCCTGACACCTAACATACTCCTTCTGATCCGGAGGGGAGGAGCGTCTGCCCCCCCCCCCCCCCCCCCTCACCCGAGAGCGCCTTCTTTTAAGGGCGCCACCCTAAGTTTAGCCTAGGGTGCTAAAAATGTAAATCCGGCCCTGGGTGTTGACTGTTGATTCGACTCATCGAGCCTCTTGTCGCCGCAAGAAAAGCTAAATCACGAACTTCAGTGATAACTTTTATCAGCCAGTATCAGCTCGCATGAGTCACAGTTTTCTTCGATGGTTTGCCTCCAAAAGTCCAAACAGACAACATCCTTCTCGTCACTGTCCCCCCGGCTGTCGTACTATTGTAATTTCTGTTGGCGAAAAGCGTCAGCTGTTTTGTAAAGTTTTGATTCCTCCAGTTTTCCATTTCTCAGGTTCAGTTCGGTATGATACCTTGCCCATAAAGGTGATCTAAAAGCGTCCTCCGAGTGTTATTTCTTTCCATACCACCTTTAGCTTTTACCTTTAGCCTTTAGGTTATGGGCCCAGAGCAGTGCAGTTTTTATTCGTGATTTCATTAAGTGTCCAATTAACAATGAGTGGTGACCATAAAACTAAAAGAAATATTAAGCCGTTCGACGGTACCGAATACTCAATTTGGAAGTTGCGAGTGCGAGCGGTCTTGGCCGAGTTAAAAGTCTTATCCGCCGTAGACTCGGTAACCACGGTTACGACTCAGACCGCGTCGGGCGATAACAGTGTTGCAAGTGGTGCAAGTGAAATCTCGGACGATTCGGACCTAAAAGCGAAAAATGTAATTNCGTGAGCAGATCTGCTGGCTGATCACCTGTGGACAAATGATGAAGGATAATAGTATTTTCTTCAACTTGCTCTCGGGAAAAGTGATATTTAATATCGATGTGTTTCGATCTTTTATGACTAGACGGGTTGTTAGCAATGCTAATACAACCGTTATTATCCTCATAGATAGGGATTGGCCGTTGTATTGCCAAATTTACGCTATGCAGTAATGACTTCAACCAGAGAGCTTCCCTAACCCCTTCAAATAGGGCCATGTATTCTGCCTCTGTAGACGAGGCAGCAACAGATTTCTGTTTCTTTGTATTCCAACTAACGGTGCACACACCAAACAGTTTGAAGAAAAACCCAGTGGTACTTTTCCTGTCCGTTGAATCTCCTGCCCAATCAGAATCAACGAATCCACTTAGAATATGCTCGTGATCATTATTTCGTTTATACGTAAGTTTCAAAGCACGAGATCCTTTCAAATATCTCAGGACTCGTTTTAAACACTGCCATAGCTCCTTGTTATTTTTACTAGCGAATCGACTCAAAANAAAAAAAAGTCAAATTTACATTTCAAATTTACATTTCATTTTTTAATGTCAAAATTTAATCCCCAAGTTAAATTTTGAGGGGGCGTGTTGGCGAAAAGCGTCAGCTGTTTTGTAAAGTTTTGATTCCTCCAGTTTTCCATTTCTCAGGTTCAGTTCGGTATGATACCTTGCCCATAAAGGTGATCTAAAAGCGTCCTCCGAGTGTTATTTCTTTCCATACCACCTTTAGCTTTTACCTTTAGCCTTTAATTTCATCAGTCACTTTTTTCATAATCCAATATACGAATTCAAAACGAGGTTGTGAGTTATGGGAAAAAAATTACTTTCGGAATTTCGCTCCACTATTTTTCCAAAATTGAAAACTTGAATTGTTCCGGATAAACACCACATCCGTTCAAAGAAAAATTATCTTAATATTATTAATAAAATTAAATATTAGAAAAAGTTAGGTATATATATAAAGAATTGGACCACGTTTAACAGAAAGGAACCAAGCCACATCAGCTATTGCCAAATTTAACTGGGCAAGTCAATTTTTTACGAGAGAACGTTCGTGAGGATTCCTTTGAAAATTTTAAGGAATTTGCTTCGTATTATGGAGAAAATTCGCTGAAATTTGCACGAAAATCCGCCCAACCGTTTTCATGTAAAAAATTAATTCGCCCAATTAAATTTGGCAATAGCTGATGTGGCTTGGTTCCTTTCTGTTTAACGCGGTCCAATTAGGTAGGTACTTTTCAGTTTTCCTAGGATCAGTGCTGATATGTCTTTATGTTCACAGGTTGAGTGAAAGCTTTTAAATTCCTGACGAAAGTCTTGGTCTACACTGTAGGACGATGGGTATAAGAGGACTTCAAAGTTTTATTGAGCGAAATTGTCCGCCAAACTGCGTCCAACGCGTAGACATCGCAGAGCTAGCAGAGGACTTCAGGTTAGTTTGACTTAATTTTGATTGCGGCAACTTGTTTTACGTTTTTACACTCTTTTTACGTTGAAGGGACTATGGGAAAATAACTTTGGTTGATTTTCAGGTTTTTAATTGGACCGCGTTAAACAGAAAGGAACCAAGCCACATCAGCTATTGCCAAATTTAATCGGGCAATTTATTTTTTTACATGAAAACGGTTGTGCGGATTTTTGTGCAAATTTCTATGAATTTTCTCCATAATACAAAGCGAATTCCTTAACATTTTCAAAGGAATCCGCACAAACGTTCTCTCGTAAAAAATCAAATTCCCCTGTTAAATTTGGCAATAGCTGATGTGGCTTGGTTCCTTTCTGTTTAACGCGGTCCAATTCTTCTACAATATTTATTCTCCTAGTAAAATTAATTTGTGAACTTTTGAGAGTAAAAAGAAGCAAATCGACGGTGAAAATGACAGACCACGTATGTTCGCGGTGTTTAAAAAACTCCGCTCCCATTTTATTTTTTTAAAGGAGAACGATTATCAGTATCATTTCTTGAGATTTTCACAGAGTTTTTGAAGTTTTCAAGAATTGACTTCAAGTATATTTTCATTTAAAAAATAAAATAGGACGGGAATTCTACATCGTTGCAAATTGAGATGCGTGATCTGGTAATTTTACCGACGGATGGCATTTTACCGTTCGGCAGTCAGCCTTCTTACAGATATATCTTTGATATTCTTGTTGCCCATTACCGTCGAATAATTTTCCGATCGCCTCCCGGACTCATACGGTCGCGTCAGGCACATCAGTCGCGGGGACGCGTTCATGAAATAACGAAAAAATAAACGCGACCTATACTTAGCGTGCAAGAGCGCGATGCAACTATTCGACCACCCGAGCGTGGCACAGTATCATTTGAAATTGAAGGCGAACTTAACGCACCAACTCAGAAAATGAATGAGATTGTGTAATTTTAAAGCATAGATACTGTGCGTACTGCAGTGCCCCATTTGACTCATCAAATGCAACCAACATCTGAACAACATAGTGCAATAAGGAAATACCTCTTATAGCTCATGCCAGAACAGTATTACAGCGATTACTTTCGTTGAGCACACGAGTGCTTTTATGGGTGGACCAAAAATAGTAATTCCTTATCGCAAAACGAAGTTCTCATACAAGTAGACAGATCTGACATCTTAATTGCAACATGAGTAATTATATTATCTTCTAAATGAGTTAATCTTATGTTTGCCCTTCTCGAGATAAACTATTGATAATTGTATCTTTTTCTTCCCTTTTGCAGGGAGTCGCATCAGGAACAGCCAACAATAGTATTTGATGGAGCATCTATACTGCGATTTATATATAATGGGCTGGATTGGGTATCGGGTGGCCAATTTACTGAGTTTTTTGAGGAACTTGAGAAATTTGTGAGCAAATTCAAGGCAATTGGAATAAAACCAGTTGTTTTCTTTGGAGGAACGAAGCATAATGATGATACCTATGAGGAGTGGAGGGAGAAGAGTTTCAAAAAATTAGAAAAGGTTCATGAATTGTTTGGCGATTTAGAACGGCGTTCAGCTGATGCCGTGAATGCAAACAGCCAACTTTTCCGATTCCCTGTGAACCTTGGCGTGTCCCTCTATTTAAAGGAAAAACTTAATACTGAGGTTTGTATTAAAATAATTTGTACCCTCAATTGGACTGCATTTTACAATTTGGACCTATAAATTTCGGCCCGGTTTAAAAACAACGTATGTGCCATTAGTTTCCCTATGCACATGAGTGTTTTTTCAGATGAGCCAGAATTTATAGGTCCAAATTGCAAAATGCAGTCCAATTTTACTTGTGTTCCTCAAGTTCTGAGAGTTGTTCATTCTACCATTAAGAATCATTCAGAGATTGATGTCGAATAAAAGGAAAAAAGAAATCCTTTCAATTCAACTTACAGAGTTTTTTACAGAATTTATAAAATCGGAAAAGAACTTCAAATTTGAAATTATTTTGATAACTTTCTTATGTAACATGAGGACATTCAATGGGCACGAGAGGTACTCATCATTTTTTTTCTGAAAATTGGTCAGGGAAACACTTATTAGTTCTTCGTGCTTAAACGACCCTGTCTGTTTAATAGCCCATTTTTAAACTTTTAAGGTGCTCCTACTGATGTGAAAGTAATATCATGTCAAAAATACCTCTGGAAAGTTAAAAATTACTTATTTTATCAAAGTGATTGACATTCATTGTTCAGTTGCAATATTTTCAAATTAACTAAGAGAGGATATGTGAGAACCAAATGAAACTTTAAGTATGGATTGCAGAGAAAGTCTTGACTCTTGCATATTTATTGACGAAATGAAAGGTATTTCCGGAGAGACCTGGAAATGTTGTTTTTCTGTTGATTTTTCTTCCGGTAAGTAAGGAGACTTTATACGATGACTTTGATTTCAGATTAAGATTGTGGCGAATCATGAGTCTGAAATTGCTGAATATGCAAAAACGAAAAATTGCATGGCCATTTTTGGTCAAGACACAGACTTTCTAATATACGAGGGAGCTCCATATTACCTATCGGCACAGCATTTTGATCTTGAAACAATGACAACGCGCCACTATGATCAGAAAAACTTGGCAAAACATTTGGGAATCAGGATAAGCCAATTGCCACTTCTAGCTGCTTTGGCCGGAAATAATGAAGAGCTGAAGGTGAGTACATGGTATTTCATAATGTTAAAGACGGAAATAAATGAATTTTAAACATCCTAGGATGAAACTTCAATTACTTATGAATTCTCTCAAATATATTGATACTCTCACATTAAATGATCATAGCAAGACAGTAGCTAGACAGTTACCGAAGTTAATAAAAATTATTTTCTTTAAATTTGACTATAGGTATTCAGCCTACGATCTGATGAAGCAGCTAATTAAGGAGGTAATTTTACTATACAAATAATTTGTGTTAACACATTTTTCTACTGTTTTTTTTATTCTTTTTATAAAAAATAAATATAAATATACATATGAAATGGTGACAATAAAATCCACTATATTTTCATTAGTGTCTTTGAGCTATAATTAACTTTCTTTCCATTCATTTGAAAACAGAGATTTCACACATCCTTGTGCAGAGGGTATGCGCGGTTCGACCGGCTATTTCCCGCGTTGGGAAAATACATCTCAACTTTGCCTGCTGACAAATCTTTAATTGGAGCTCTACCTCAAATTGCAAACCGCGTATTTGGTGACGAAAGTCAATCGGAAATTCTCTTGCGAAGCATTTGTGCTTATTTACCAAAACCTGAGGAAGATCTTGGTAAGAGCTTTCTCAAATTTATTTACTATGAGTGTTTTAGATTCATATAATTTTGTTATTAGTTTTATGTGATCATTGACATTGTAGGTAATCAATATCTATATTTATATATAATCTAGCTCCCTCAAAATTTGGGTTTTGGCAACTACGGCAAAGATACTATTCCTCCACGAATATAATCCCCTATAAAGTCAGAGACATCGAGTCTAAAAGTAAGGCCTCTTGTTTGTCAGAAACTCCTCCTTTCTCACCTCTAAGTAAGCAATTTTTAATAATTCACTGTAAAGAAAGAAGTGAATGATTCATGTAGGTTGAAAATTACAGAATTCTAGGATGTTCAATTAATAGTTTACGATTAACTACTAGACAAGGTCATGATTATTAATCCTCAGAAAAATTTCACCTGGAAGACAACGAAAATGTTCAGAACTTCCAAAATCAACTCCCAAAGAAAAATTTAACATTTGTAGTTCACATTAGAATTAGTCAATACGATGGCCTTCACGAAAAAACCCAAAATTATTGTAGGTTTTCAAATGAGGCATTGACAAAAATTTTGCATTCCACTAATAATCAGGTAGCACTGATTATTTTACAGAATATAAGCAAAATGTGTTTGTTTGTTTAATAAAATTGTTCTCTCTTTCTTATGATCAGAACTCATAAACTCGTCAAGAAAAATGCAGAACACGGAAAAAATTTCAAAAAATATTTTAATAATTAGAAATTGAATCTGTTCAGTGCTCTTTCTGACTGGAGTAGACTTTCGTTTTACGAAGAGCAAGAGGTATGGATTAGCGCATCCAAGAACGCTACTTATTTTCTTCCTCAATAATCGACTGGGGACATTTCTGATGAGCCCATCGTAATCTAAATGAAATTTCTATGAGAAAATTTCTGTGGTGGTACTTAATTTCATACGTCGTCTACTGAACCCATTAGATAATGATTCTGTGCAACGTATATTTTTTCTTTCAGATGATGAAATCGATTATCCTCACTGGAGAAATATCCTCAAAAAGGCTGAAGAGCTTCATAAGGAAGGAGAAAACAGCGCTGTCATTCTCAATGTAATGACGGGTAGGCCTTACAGGTGTTCAGTGGTAACCGAAGATCTTAGAAGGCAAGATCTGCCGCCTTCAGCTGCCTGCTTGAGGTCGTTAAGGCAAAGGATGTATGGCATTTTATTGATGGAAAAACCAGCGGATTTGAAACCTCGATTTGTAGAGGAATGGAGTCCAGAGAAGGGTGATATATCCCGAGTTGCACATTCACATTTAGTGAGACCCACACTACCTACAGGTACCTAAAAATTTGTGAAATATACTTTCATTGGTTTAAAATGTTGCATCTTTCACAACAATTTTCATAAACACTCAATAATCTGGGTTTGGAATTGCTGGGTACATGATCATCTTGTTTCCCATAAATTGTGCTGAAGCATCCTCATTAAATCAATAATATCAATGATAGAGCTACAATTGGACTACGTTTTGCGGTAAGAAAGACTACTCCTGGTTGATTTTTGAACCAACGTATGTGCCGAATTTTCCCTATACAGATAGGTGCTTTTATGGATGAGTCAAAAATAGTAGTTCTTAATTGCAAAATGTAGTCCAACTTCGAGTCATAGGTGGGGTTCCAATTTTCTTTACAAAAGTATATTCATCTATGTAAAGAGGGCTTGGGAATAATAAAAATGTAGGTTGTGTTGAAAATTTTCTTTCAAAAATGTTTTCTTTTTCAATTTTAGATCACCATCCGGGATTGTTAGCGCTTTGGGGCGACGACCGTACTGAAAAAATGCAAACTATTAGATGGAGATTGTTCGCAGGTGTCATATCTCCAAAACTCAATCCTGAAATCCTTTCCGATCTTCCGGAAAACTTAGTTTTACCCTATGCTGCTCTCTTCTACCTATACGTAAGAAATGTGCTCTTTTAGACTAATGAAATGTTTTAAGAACGATTAACTTGGGACAATGAGATTTGTGAAGTATCCTGTGACATGAAGTAGCTTAATAGGAAAACCTGTAAAACTCACTGCTTATACCAGAAAGAAAGTAAGACTGATTATAAGTTAGACTGCTAAAGAGAAAGGAAGAAAAAATTGTCTCTTTTTCCACTTAGCCCACTTATTCATGTACGTAAGCAAGGAAAAGGACGTAATAATTAAGGTGTTAGCAGTGAAAATGACATGCAAAATAAGAGTAGAAAAGAAGACTTTAGAATTCAACACGACCATTGAAAGATGTTAGCTGGATTTTCAATATTCGGTTAAAGGAGATTTGAACCCAAACCTGATGCTGCACGAGATATCAGGTCTCTTGGAAGAAAAATCTGCTAGGAAAGTCCTACTCCAACCAATCTTACAAAAAAAAAAAAAAAATCCCTGCAATCCGAAAATGCAGTACAAAAATCTTCCGTTTTTATTAGTCAGATAGTAGTTCGTATTACGTTGAAATGTCATGCATAAATGCAGCCAACAAAAGCCAACCGAAACTACTATTAGTTTTCAAAACCCAACAAAATCATAAAAAAAAAAAAAAAAAAAAAAAAAAAAAAAAAAAAAATGTCCATGACAAGAACAGCAATCGTAAGTATAAGGTTTTCAATAAATTTCAGCATTTTGTTCCTCAATTTCACTCTAAATAAATTGTTCTTTTCCAGGAGGAGAAAGTGCTCTATAAGTGGGAAATAGAGACTCTGCTTTTAATATCATTAATTTTACCCTCAATGTCGTTGCAATCATTGAGGGATTTACCATCTGGGCCTATCAATGGGAGGGGTGTACAAGTGGCAACGATTTACATGAGATCGTTGCAAACAACAGTTCGGCTCATGAGTGCCTGTGGATTTCCTCTCTCAAGAAAGGAGGTAGGTAACTAACTAGTTCAGAACTGTAACCAAACGGACTTCGTGAGGGAAAGTGTCTAGAATTTGGTGTTTAACTTCAACTCTGATTACAACAAAAACTATTTTCTTTGACATTCTGTTTACTTTTAATCCATTTTATTTTTACAAACTAAAACCTATTATTGCACTTTTTTTATCTCCTCAAACTTTACCACCAATAATTAGTTTCTGTGAAGGATACATTTTAATTCATAAAAAGATCAATTCAACGTTCAAAATAACACAGAGCACGAGCAGAGGGAAAAAGGCTCTTTAAGCGGGAAAAATGGCAACTCAAAAATAAAAAAAAAAAAAAAAAAAAAAAAAAAAAAAAAAAAAAAATTCACCTACATTCATTCGAAACAACTTGATACCGCAAATCACGCCTAATAAATGCAATATAAAATGATAATGCCTTCCAACCTGCATCGTCCAAACTACGCTTTAATTTTCATCTCCGTATAATATATCCTTTTGTGCTTTCCTCTTACAGGTTTATCAACATGCTTACTTTGATGGGAAACTCTTTCAAGTAAAATACCATCAAATCCAGAGTGAACCATCTGTTGCTTCTCTGTGCGAAAATAAGGTGAAATATACGATCATACAGTTCCTTTTTCAACAGAGATCATCCTCTGATTAACTAACGCTTTTTTCTGCAGATTAGACTTCAACAGCTGATCTACATATGGCTAAATTTTAAAAGGACAGGGCTCAGTAGCATTTTTAAGCGTAAATCTGGGTATATCGGCATAACATGACAAGTTCAGTGAAAATAAAGTTGTTTGGACCCTCAAAGGAATAAATAAACAACGGGCAAAGAGAGAGGGAGAATACACAGCCCTGAGGATTGAAGTCTCAAGTTGAATTGATACATTGGATATGCTCTCTTTGCCAGTTTTAATTTGTTAGGATACTGGTCATAAAAATTTTCTTTGATCAGGTTTCCCTTTACTTTATCTATCATTTGATAGCAGCGATGAACGTTCCCATAAATGAGTACTAATGAGCAACGAAAATGAGAGAGTGATCTGTTTAAAAAAAAAAAAAAAAAAAAAAAAAAAAAAAAAAAAAAAAAAAATCCATCCTTTTTTGTTTTGCAAAATTATTCAGAAAATTCCGATTTTGTTAAATTATGCTCCTCTCTGAAGAATGTTTTTAAGCATGGCATGCATTTATTAGTGAGAGCATTTATTGATACATTGAAGTTTTTGTTAAAATGGTTTGATTAAGAGTGTCTTAGTGTAATTTTGGGCTGTTTTAAAAATTAGGGCTGATTTTCTTAGTGTAAGTTAAGGTTGGAATTTGGAATGAATCGTTAATCATTCAATTCTCATCTAATTTCCAGCATTGATTTCAAAAATTATGATGAAAAGAACTATGTTATTGAGTTTTCGTGAATTAATTGGAAAACATCTTTTTTCTTTTTCATACTTAATCATGAATTCAAATTATTTTAGCGTATGAATTACATAACGGAGAAGAAAAAGCTATTTGAATTTTTTTTAATCAGATTAATTGGCAAAATCATTTGATACAACCCAAATTCCAATGCTTTAAACAAAAAACCTTGTCAATCAACTATTTTTGCTTTCCAAATAACTCCATCTGACCTCATTGATTTTCCATTTTAATTTTTTCTCTCTCTTTTTCAGACTTTACTTTCTGACGCCTATAGTGCACTTCGAAGCAATTTCTTCAAAGAAACCTAGAGAACTTGCTTGGGCACTTATCAGTTAAGAGGAGGTATGGTATATTCCATTTACCGATTGTTATTATCCAGGTTCCATTGATTCTCTCATTTTATCCTCATTTTCTTTAATTTCCACATGCTGTAATTCTAGATACCTTCGTAACAGTTCAACATACTTTCCAGAAATAGCTCTAGTTGTTCAGATCCTATAAATTTGTGAAGACAGATTGTGTTCCTTCATTTTTTTTTTTTTTTTTTTTTTTGGTCTTCAACAAAATGTTTCTTTAATCCAGTTCTTAAAGAAACTTTATGAAATTTTGAATCCATAGACACAATATATGAAAAAGAAAATTAAACGGAATTTTCAAATAATACACTTTACAAAACAATGATAGTCGAGAGCCTTGACTATGCGTTTTTGAATAAAATAAGCTATTAATCAGCAAAAGATTCACATTCTAATAACTTCCTGTTATTTATGAGGAGAAAAGACGTTTTTTTCTTTCTTGTTTCTTCTTGCATTAGTGATTTGTAAGTGATGTATTTCTTTAGTAACTTTACATGTTTGTCCTAGGATAATCCTATTAGTAAAAGTCATTTTAGCCTTAAAACCATTGAATTTTAAACGTTTGTAAATTTTTCAATTTTCCTGAAACTGAGTACTTTCAATTCGTAACATTTAATATTTACAGTATTATTTCACCAATTCTCTTTGCTTACCAGTAACCTTGTTTTAGGTTACTGTCCTGTAAACACATGTACATCTGTGAAAGATTGCCTTCATAATATTTTGTCTTCTCCTAGGCATAATTTCTCATTTCATTTAAGTTCACTTCTTATCCCATAAGGTTCTTGCTGTGATAATGATTAAAGTCAATTGACTGAATAATTTTTTGTGTTTTTTACTTCAAAAATAAGATGATTGCTATTTTCATATTTTGCAGTTGTTTTTTTTATGCTTCCCTAAGTAAAAGTGCAAAAAAATTAATCCGCAAACTTGGATGTAAGATGTTTTTTTTTTAGATCAATATTTGAGATTAAAAGAAGCTATAGGTAGTCCTTGCAAACGGGTAAGGTATTATACAGTTTCAAATATACCACTTGCTGTTACACAAAGAATAATCTGAAGACATATAAAACTTAAGCTTTTGTCCATCAATTTAGGAAATTGTGCTTAACAATTACCAAATTCATTGGATAAGTCGCAATTAATATCATTTTCAATCCGGATTTCCCAAACTTAAATGGTTGACGGGAAATGGGGAACGGAACGGTGCCAAGTTTTCCATCATGCAAAAGACAAAAACGGGGGGGGGGGGGGTTTCAAATGGTGCAAAAATAAAAATTGAAGTTATTTAATGTCAATGAAACCTTCCACCTAAAAAAGGTGAGCGCTTTAAAAAATGTAAGAACATGCTATATTTACTTACGCAAACACTAAGGTGGTATGAAGAGGAAAAAGCTCCTTACCTGAAACATACAAGAATGGAAAAGTTCAATTTACCACTTAGGACAATATTTTCTTTACATGGAGAAAAAAAAAATGTTGTGTAACATGTGAGGCTCATAGGCACGAGTTGATTTTTTGGCACCTCATGGAGCTCATGAGACTGATACCTGCTAAAAAACTGTAACGCCAAAGACAGGGAAAACTTTGGAGTAAAAATGTTTTGATCTTACTTCTAAAGGTGGCTGTTCTCTGGAATTTACCTTTTCTTCTGAAAGGTTTTTTTTCTGGTACAGCAGGAACAAATGTGAAATAAAAGTTGAAACGTAATGCAAGGAAGACTTTCAGTATGAATTCCTAGATTAATTTAATTGACCTTTAATTTAATTGTTTTTATTGGAGATATACGAGATGCAGTATAATGGAATATTGCACCCATAAAGTTTCTTTCTTCCCATGACATTTAAAAAAAAAAAAAAAAAAAAAAAAAAATGTTGCACGAACGTTTTTCCGGAAAAATGTATACTTCATAAAAAAAATTGGTTTCCCGCGCCTGAAACCATACCGATTTAGGTTTTTGCGGTAGAGATAAGCGCGCCAAGACAGACAAAAATTCCTGTCATCGCACCGTGCCTAGGCAATCTCACTCGAAAGTTTGTGCTTACGGAATCATAGTGCGCTTCGGATCAAATTTCTTATAGCCGATATTAATTTTGGGGAAAAATCGAGGTAATCCTCAAGAGCATCGATCGGTATGAGTCCGAATTCAACTAAGTATTTTTCTCCAAAGAATCGCTGCTGGACATGGGAATGCGAGTACGTGAGATAGAAATATACCAGATACGATGTCACTGATCAGGTCACAAGCAGGGGGCGGATCCAGCAATTTGGCACCACAGGATTTCCTCCATTTAAACCTACGTTAAATAATCGATTCTTTTCGGAGCACCTGGCCCCTTCAAGAATCGATAAATTTTCATAGGTTTAGATGGAAAAAAAAAACAATGTTGCCCATTTGCTAAATCCGTCAATGGTCACAAGTGACCACTTGAAGTTTGTACCAAAGCGATGAGAAAGCACGCTCACAAGGCTCGTAATTGAGTTAAAGAGCCGAGTTTATGGGCAACGTAAGCACATGAGCGTTTGAAGTTCTATCAGTGAGAACTTATTGGCGCATTTTGAATAGCCTGCTCAAACGGCAGGGCGCGCTCACTGACATGTTGAGTAAAGTAGCGCCGCAACTTTGTCGATAAAGAAGATAAACATATGTTCTTCCGGCGCGGCCACGAGCGAATTCTCTTCATATAAATTAAAAAGGTGTGTCGTTCAGGTCGAAAATAGTGCGAAAAGTGGAGTGTTCTTTTGAGTTGAAAACCTTCATTGCGGGACCGCAGAAATGTTCATCTTCGTCAGGCTCAAATAAGGTGAGTAAAATAAGTTGCGTTTCGGTATTGCATTTGCCCATTGTCGAAAAATAAATTTTGCGGGCATGAACTGCAGATTATGATTTTTCAAAAAAAAGGTTAGCTTGGGAAAATAACTTAAAAATAACATGAAAAAATCCGCAAACCACTTGTCTAATATCTTTTTCTTTCCTTCGTGGAATCTCATGAAATTTTCGACCCTCTTACTATTAGTTGGATTGCATTTAACAAAAAATGGCCAAAAGCATTCCGATGGCGCTAGGATTGTTCAACTTCTTTTCAATTAGCAACAAGGAACCACTATTTCTGGCTCATTTTAGGAAAAAAAACATGGGTTCCATTGGTTTCCCCATGCAGGAAGATGCTTTTATGGAAGAGCCAGATATAGAGGCTCCTTATTGCAAAATGTAATCCAATAATATAAACTGATCATATAAACAAGTTTTATCTTTGTTCCCAATGAAATATAAATTCAAAATGAAAATTACCTTCGTAAATTTAGAAGAATGTAAGTTGCACAATGTTAGGAACATTAAAATAGACCACATTTTGCAATAGGGAACCACTGTTTCTGGCTCATTTTAGAAACAACATAAATGCCATTGATTTTCCTACGCTGAGAGGTGATTTTATGGAAGAGCCAGATATAGCGGTTCCTTATTGCAAAATGTAATCCGAATGCTCTTGGTTCCTTTTTGAAAAATGCAATCCAGGTGCGCTTGAGAGTTAAGGTACATTTCAATCTTAGAATATTCGTGGTTTTCTTTCATTCACTTCTTTTAAATCTTCTTTTTCAAACCACGTTTTGATGTCCGATCGATTATTCCCTTTCCTCCACTAGGTCTGACGTAGGTAAACCCAAAACTGCCTTGTTTATTCCTCTCTCTCTCATTGCCTGGTGTGATTCTCATGGCATTTTGCCCACCTGCCCAGTGCCCACTGTATTCACACATTCAAAATGTTCCTGCCTTCTACCGAATACTCAATACTAAGTAAGAGAAGTAATACTTAAACAAATTTAGAGGAAGAATCTGAGAGATTTATACAGTTTCTGCATCAATTATTCGCAGTAAATTTGGCTTGAACGTTTTTTAAACTTTGAGAACATTGAACTTTTTTTTGTGTGTTTTTATTATGCTCATAAGGATCCAACTTACGACGTCTAAAATAAAAATAATGGGTGTTAGAGGACTTCAAACCTACTTGGAAAAATACTGTCCTCCTGGATGTTTTCAAAAGGTTAACATCGAGGATCTCCTTGAGCAACACAGGTAAGGAGAAATTGTCTTACGATTGCACGAGAGAAAAACTATCTTGGTAAAAGACATTAAAAAGCTTCGTTGGACAGGAATTAAGTATGATTTGACTTCCGGAACGAATGGCAACGCGCCACGGTGTATACTTAAAGCTTACCCTACGAGAGTAAAAATGAGTGATAAAATGAATAAATTAATTAATCAAGTAATTAATTCATTCATTGATGAATTACTTCATTAATACATTTTGAACAAAAACGTTCCGTTAAAAGTGAAAAAAACCCAAGGCACAAGACAATATATTACTTAAATCACTTCCAGTGAAATTCTTTGCAGGTATCCCGTTTATTCTTCCTGCAGTGTTTCTTTCTTGAGCTTTTTTGATAGTTTTCAATCATATATGTGCAAAAAATCGATCAAAATACTGACATATATGAAATTTGAGACAAAGTTGTATTAATTTATTGTGATTTCCGATTGAAAAATGGTCTACAATGACTGAATTTGGCTAAAAATGGTTCATCAACGCTTTTCTGACGAACTTCATCATTCAGCATCTCTCTGTGTGCTTGTCAACATTTTATGCTCAACATTTAAAATTTACTGAAAATTAGACCCTTTCCTCTATATCCTTTTATTTTTTTAAGATTTCTGTTTTTTTCTTTTCTTTAGACAGGAGACTGGTGAGGAACACCCGGTTATCATTTTTGATGGATCGTCTTTTGTGCCGTTTTTTTATCGTGATCTTGACTGGGTAGCAGGAGGCCAGTTTAAGGAATTTTTAGAAAAACTTGGAAAAATTGTAGATGGATTTCGGGAGCTTGGAGTGCGTCAAGTGTATTTTTTTGAAGGAGCAAAGCCGGAAAGAGACAAAATTCCTGAATGGCGCTGGAAAAATACGGAGCAAATAGAAGCGATTAATCAAGTGTTCGATGCTTTAAAAAAAGGGACTCAAGTCGTTGATCTGAAGCCTGTCTATTATACACCAACTTTCCCTTCAAATTTAGGATTTTCACATTATTTAAAGGATTTATTTGGCGTTGAAGTACGTAAGCAGCTTTATTTTTGGCTAGAATAAGTACCTACTTGTCTGAAATTAGAGTTCAACGATCCGCGCTTATGCAAGGGAATGATAATTTAACGATCGTGATAACATTTTATGACAAAGACATGAAAACGTTATCAAAATATGAATTTTTTCGGTAAAAGGGCGTATGAGGCTTGCAATGCTGCTAAGCTTGTGCAAGTTTTTATAGCAATCGCGACAAATAAAATTCATTCATAGTCGACTTGCTTCCTCACGATAGCGAGGAAAAACTCAAAGCAGATTCAGCGAGAAATTCATAGCAGAACTGTCAGATAAGTTACTTAAAACTAAAGAGTTACGTTACGCAATCTTCGCATCATTGGAAGCCTCATACGCTCTTTTATCGAAAAGTGCCTTGACAAATATTGACAGGCCTACACGGAAAAGAGATACCGTTGCAGTGTTCCTTTTTCTGATGTGAAACTGAAAGTAAATCTAACCGAAGCAACTACTTATATTTTTCCAGGTGCTTTTCTTTTCCGGTAAATAGAGATTCATCAGAGCAATGAAGCACGTGTACATACTTTATCTGATCAATAACATCTGAAAAAAAAACATACTTTATACTTTTTATTTTTTTGAAAGCACAAAAGCGATTCCACATGTTGCCAATATCTATCTCAGCCTCGGTCTATTTATTTTATTGAGAATCAGGGAATGGCGAATTATGAAACACTGTTGCCTTCTTTCCTTTCTCCTCCAGGTTCTCATATCTAGCAGAAGAGAAGTTGAGGTGGTGGATTTTGCCAAGAGGAATAACTGCTTTGCAATGTTCTGTCAAGACACCGATTTTATCATTTATGGCGGAGCAAAATATACGCTATCGGCGATGCATTTCCAGCTGGAGACAATGAGCACGTACAATTATGACAGAAACTTGTTAGCCAGTCATTTGGGAATACAAGTGACTCAACTTCCAATATTAGCAACTTTGAGTGGGAATGGTTACGCAGATTATGAGGATTTGAGGGTAAGTGAGATAAAATCGTCTCCATGCCTAGTTTAATTCCCTAGTTCCATTCGTGTAAGTTGCGAGGGGTGGGAGAGGAAGCTAACCAAGCCAGGTAAAAGGCTTGAAATTAATGACTATCTGGTTTAGAATTACTTAATGATGGGACTGTATGTTCTCTTCATTTTGCTTATGGGATTATTTTTTCATACTTGCTAACGAGGGACGCGACGTCAGCTTGTTTTGGATTTTTTCCACGACTGATCAGTGGCGGCAGGTTCCTATTAAAAATTAAAGAGAATTACTTTATTAGTAGATGGTTATAATTAAATAAATATAAAATTTAAAAAATCTCAATTGTTAAGCCTCCTCTATAATGAACGAGATACTCATTATTGTTTGAATTTCAATTGCCAAAAACAGATATTCCACCAGGCGCTCTGCAAGGACAGCTATCGACCAAGTTATAAAGTGTTGTTCCCAGCTTTGGGTAGGTACATCCAAAGGTTGCCAAAAGGGCAAGCACTCTTTGAGGCACTCCCGCGAATAGCCAAGGAGGTTTTGCACGCCACGGAAAAAGCCCGCATTCTCAAAAATAGTATCTGTAGTTACTCATTTGAGTCTGAAGTGGGTTTACATGGTAAGTGATTATTCCTGACTATCCAATTTAAAGTCAAGTACTGTTCATTTTTTAGTTGATAGTTATAAAAAATAATTTAAAAGGACCTCAACGGAAAAAGTTAAATTGAAATAAAAACAAACAAAGAGAAGGAGAGAATGCCTAGAAGTTACGGGAAAATGAAAAACGAGATTTTTTTTCCTTGCATGATAAAAAAATGGCAAGAAGTACTGCCATAAAACTGGATGAAAGCGCTTTGAAGTTTTGACCTCCGAAAGCTGTAAAATGGAATAAAGAAAAAACTTATTATGAGAAATGTCCATTTTTTTAAAAACAAAACTTCAAAAGTAAAATCAATTTTTCCACTACAAATATCACTCATACAGCATATTTCTAACAATTAAAGAGTGTTGGTTGATTTTTTTTTCAACAGAATCTCTCCGCAAAGAATCCCTCTGTTTTCGCTCAAATCTAATAGAAACAATTTTGTTCAAGTGCGTTGAGTGAAGAGTCAAAAAGCATTAAATCAAATCTTGATAACAGGTGAACAGATTGAAATGTTGTCGTAAAGGAACAAAACTGAAGTGAAAAGACTCTGATAAGATGAATGAGAAAACGGCGGCAGTCTAAAAATCAAGTCACGTTATCTGATTTCGTCGAGAACATTCTTTCCGACAATGACACGCATTACATGTTGTTAGAAAAAAATATTTTCGTTTTTCTTTCAGCTCCTACCGCAGCCAATTACCCTCAATGGGAGGAAATTTGCAAAAAAGCTGAGGAGCTCCACATTGAAAACCTCAATACAGCGGTCATTCTAAATATTTTGAGAGGGACGCCTTATCGGTGCACTGTCATTCTGGAGGATCTCCGTGATACCTCTTTGCCCCCCAGTGGTAAATTGTTCCGGCCGATGAGACAGATGCTTTTTGGAATACTTCTCGCAGAGAGACCACCAGAACTTGGATCTCAACTATTTCAAGAATGGAGCACAGAAAAACCCGATTGTTCGGGAGAGTTCAAGGGAGAGTTGTACTTGGTAAAACCACAGCTGCCGGCAGGTAATTCATGATAATGTGAATATAGATACAAATAAGCGGAGAAATAAGTTGTAATAATTTTTTGCGAGGCTAATTTCGATATTGAGAAAAAAAAGAAACTTAATTTGTAAAATGGACATCATTGAAAATTACTGCATCAAAAAAAGACACTGAAAAATCAGGTATGACATGCACTCCTGACACGCACAAACATTGTAACTCGCACCATTATCTGAAGTTACTACGTTTTTACATTAAAAACTATGAAAAACGTACAAAGCATCATTTCATCTTTCTGATAGGTATACGCACGCAGTCACGCTTTTTTGAATCTTTGCCTTAGTTTTTTGTAGTGATTAAAGGAAGCACTGTAGAGTAACGGGTTTTTAGAAGTACAATAACCGCTTGATGTAAAGACGCTTACTAGGGGTATTATATAGGATGAGCAGTATTTTAAGCCTTACTTTACTGCTAACTTTCTGCCTCCTTGCCTTTACGACACATTCGTAGCAAAAAGAATAAATTTAATCAAATTTAGCGCGATTTCTTGTCTCAAAACTTATCTAGCTCACCATCCGGGACTTCTGGCACTGTGGGGAGAGGACAGGTCGGAGGAGATGCAAAAAATCAGGTGGAAATTATTCACTCAGGCTGTTTCTCCAAACTTGAACTACCATGAGCTAAAAAGCCTCCCGGAATATTTGGTACTTTCAACGCCTGTTTTAGTTTACTTGAAGGTCAGAAAATTGTACTTGAATATTGTATTTAGGCACTGTTAATTCAAAGATAAGATACAATTTTGTTTTCCTGCGATGATGAGCAATTTTCCTACAATTTAAGATACACTCTTGATCGATAAGTAAATTATTAGTTATTGATAAGCTTCAATTTATATTTTCACGATGTTCATTCATATGAGGCGGACTCTTTAGAAGTCTCCTTTTACAGCCTTGCTGCATTGAAAGATGGGAGATGGAATTTGGAGGGTTTTATTACTATGGTAATTATTAAGTTAATATTAGTATTATTGAGCCCTACTGGAGTGAGCGCAGGTTTGTAAAATAGAAGAAAGAAACTGAAATTAAATTGAATTTCTTCATAACTTATGAGCTTTTCAAAGTTAGAGAGAAAAAAAAGGAAACATAAGAATTAATACAAATTCCGAGGGGCCTTTCTAAAAAATCGATCGATACAGCATACATATACGTAATAAATTAAATTGATGGTATTGAACCAAATCAGCTTGGTTACATTGCACGTTGTCTAATTTCTTCGTGGGTTTTACAATTTTGCATGATCATTTCAATAGATTTCGCTTCAACTATTCTGCTTTGAAATTTTATGAATACTTCATACTCAAAAGAATGAACACAGAACGTTTCAAAGCAATATTTTGCTTGTTTCTGGTGAAAGAAAAATAAAGAAAAAAGGAAATTAGGCAGATTTGGAATAATCATGTTGAATCCGTCAAAAAATCGTCCCTACCCACCAATCATTATGAAAAATAAATTACGGAGGAATATATCAGAGATAATGTTACTCTCATACAAGCTACTTAATTCCTAAAATTTGAATTATCTTTGCGCTTGCCACCGAAAAATGACACAGAGTGGCCGATTGTTCTGTCGTGCTAAGGAAGAATGACGTATGAGCCTTCAGATGTTGCCACATTTCCTTCAATGAAGGTCAAATTCACCGGGAAAACTGTGAATATTGTTACACAAATTTTTCAAAAAAAAATTTCTGCTATTTCATCTAAAATATTTGAAAATTTCAAGGCTAACTATGCAAAACTTTCTTCACAAATACATGTATTATTCGAGGAAACTTGGCAACCCTCGAATGTTCATACGGCGTTTTTCCTAAGCACGGCAGTGTTAGACAAAGTATCAGGAATTGCTATTCCTGGCTCATCCGGCCACGGAAGCACCTACCTATCCCTAAAAAAAACTGATAGCACATGTGATGCTTCTACTATGAGCTGGAAATATTAATTCCCAATTCAAAAATGTAAAGTCCAAATGAGTGTTTCGTTTCTTATCCAGGAACACACGGAGATGGAAGAATGGGAAATAAATGCCTTGATTGCAACAGTGGTCACACTACCCCATGAGCCTCTCAACTATCTAGCAGAATTACCATCAGACCCCATTGATGTTCGGGCGGTGATTATTGCCTCCATATTTAAGCGCGGCTTGCAAACTGTTTTCAGACTTTTGAATGCATGCGGTTTCCCATTCCCGCGATCAAAGGTAAAAGATCTTATCAGCAGACTTTCTAAAATCGACTTCAGACGTTTTGTTCATAAAACCATTCTTTACTTATTTCATTTATCGACGGCGTAAGTCCGCAATCACATATCTCGTTTGCAGTGCCTCTATGTTATTTTTTTAAGGGAGCACAAATTGACATCATTCCTTAAAGTTTATGCAGAATTGTATTCGCATAGAGAAGAAAAATCACGTCAGTTTTAAAGAATTGCCGTTGAGTAGTTTTCTGTTTAAAAAATAAAGTATGACAGGAAGTCTGCGACGTCGGTAACCGAGTTATGTGAATGCCGACTGACACCGTCGTTTATTTTGGTCGCGTTCAAACAAGTCCCTTTCTTGTACAAAAACCACGAAAATTGAGAAAACAAGTAATACAAGTAGGAAAGTGATTAAAAAACCACATGATTTTATTAAATAACTTTTAAAGGGCTGCAGGGTGGGGTAGGGTAGGAGAGGGGTTTTAGAGGTGGTTCCTAAAAAAATACCTTCCGTAATTGACTTGAAATTAAGTCATTTTGTCATCAAATCCTTTGATTTGTGGGTTTTTATGACTTAATATGGTTGCTTAAGGGAGAGAGGAGTCGAACTGTTTGCAAGACCCTTGCAGTAATTGCAGTATTTGAACACGATGTGAATAAAAAATCCATCGGTATATATTTTTACATCGATGAAAGAAGAGAGAAGAGTACTCGCGCATTCAGTAAACAGTAATCAGTGAAGTGTAATTTTAAAGAAAAAAAGAAGAAAAAATCCGAGGCGCAATTCTTTAAGCACCATCTTAATTTTACAGGTATTTCAACACCCTTACTTTGACGGGAAACTTTTTCAAGAAAGGTACCGGAAAGCGAAAGATGGAGCGAAATTCTTTGATCTCTGTGGCGGTCGGGTATGTTGGAGTTTGATAATCTTATTCTTATATTATGGTTTCGATGAATTTTCAATCGGAATGACCCTGTGCACCCCACTTCTTAAAAATAACGTACGGGTTTTAAAATAATACCTATACATATATAGGAATGAGAGATATCTCGAATTCCTGTCAATGTGAATGTTTTTAATTCTTCGTGCGTCCATGCAAAAATATGGAATGTATCCGCTAATTTAAATCCCTCTAGAATACTACAACGTAACCTAATATTTGAAAATCAGAGATTCAAAATAGCAAATGAATAAATTGGTTTGGTTTTTGACAGGTATCAGGATTGGAAAAATTCCATAATGTCAGAGCCATCGTTTTCAAGGATTCGCCGCATTGAAGGCAAAAGATGAAACTTCTAAACCTGCGGATCTTCGCTCTTGGATGTACACAGTATCTATCTTGCTTTTTTGTTGGTTGCAACAATTAAAAACGCATCATACGATGATTTACTCAATTGTTTACTTATTTTACTCAAGTGAATACTATTTGGAAATATTTGTTTATTTTTGTACTAAGTATAAAGTAAGTTTTGAGTTTTAGCATATTTTAATTCTAATTCTACTAATTATTCGCACGCCGGCAGTTTTGGAAAAGATGCTTGCAAAATTTAAATACCGTGTTTAGTTTTGACACGAGCTTCATCTGCTACCGGACAAAACTTCCGAAAAAGGAGGCAGAGAACTGAGAGCCCAACGCACTTACTTCTCCACGCAGCTGACGCTGTAAGTATACATATAGTAAGAATTTTACGGCTCTGATCAGGTTTTTTTGCGCAGATTGAATTCAAAAGATTTCTCATAAACGCTCCCGAAAATCAACTCCATAAGATCTAGGCGGAGCAAATACGCATCGATAGCTAAAGAACGCATGCATGTGCACTATGCAGTTTCGAAAACTGCAGAAAACTCCCGGCGCCGAACCAGAACTACGAATGATACAAGCAAATGCCTGGGTGTATGTGATTCTGTATCAGACGTAATTGAAGGCGCTCAAGTGGGACACAAAATCGACGATCGACGTCTCAAACACGAACATTGTACATACCACGAGTGGTTACACCTCTTTCACTACGTAAAGAGAGCTAAAAAAGTAGTAATATGTACGTAAGACCGTTCGAAAAAAGTCCAGTATGGCGTTTCTACTTCTGTGAGACTTCGCCGTTCGTTTACTTTACTTAAATTCACTTAACTTTGCACAGATAATTCAGAAAACTTATCCCATAAAACTTTTAAAATCTAGGGGGAAACATGTAAAGGTAAATATATTCGATTGAAAAAGAAACATACCGAAATTTGTAAAATATTAGTAACGTCAAACACGTGTTGATGGTGAAACTACGAAATCATAGATCTCGATTGCAGTGTTCAAAAAATTCCGCTCTTATTTTATTTTTTCAAGAGAATACTGCTCAAATTTTTTAGAACAATTTTGGATGGATATGATTAGAAGAACGAATAAAAGTCTAACGAAATTTTTATCAAAAATTATTATCAGGTCTGCTCTAAAAAGGTAAAATAAGATAGATTTGCAACGTCGCGAACGATGATAAGTTGTACTTTCGCCGTATATTATGCCCTTCAACCCGATTGGTCCTCACCTATCTTCCCCAGGAGCCGTTCATTAATACTGCATGACGTATTTGTGTTAATTTTTTGACGGCTACTCCCCCCTCACTCGTAACGTAAATCCGAATCCCTGCTTTCTCCCCTGGCTGTAATGTTACGCTGAGTTCGACCTTTCCTAAATTATTATTCTCGTCAGAATTTCGACTTGCTTAGCCCCACACAATCTTTCCTCTTTTTTTTGAATTGATGTAATTCGTCTATAGGTCATTGGACCGAGTTCATCAGAAAGGAACCAGCCTACATTAAGTTGAAACTGAGAAAAAGAGGTTAGAAGTTTTATTCCTGCATAAAGCTCAATGTAGAAAATGAACTTTAGCACCTATTTATACACTCATTTCTGTTTTTCGACTTTCGGGGTTCGGCAGGAGAAAAAATACGACTAGTGGAACCCAAAAACATTCTTGACTCAATTTTTTCGAAAATGTGGGTTGGTTCGCCTTCCTGATCAACTCGGTCCTATTAGTTCCTTACCTTTCAGCGTTCTACCTTCCTCCTAAAACTTTAGGCGCCACCTTGGGCGGAAAGCCCAAATTTTAGGAGCCATCTCCATTTTTTAATAGGAGTCAAATTGAATTTTTGCACACGCATCATGCGCTACCGCTGCCTCACGATTGCAAGTTTGAAAAAATCGACGGAGTGTCATCAATTTTTTTAGGCGTACGTATATTTGGCGCACGACAACGCCTGGAAACGCTAAAATACTTTTACCCTCGCGACGCAGTCATAAAACGTATCTCCACATAAATTTTCTTCTCTCCACTTGAAAATCGTAACCCACAATATGAACTACCTTTTTTTAGGGAGATTTTGCTCTATGGATCTAGCTTTGTCTCAGGTTTTCCAGCTAATTAATCATCAGTCTAAATGACGGGCGTTGCGATTTTAGGAGTAAGAACTGAACTCACAGTTACATCACAACCAGTTACAGCTCAATTTTAAACATTCGACGCTGAAACTTTGACAGGACGCTTCGTTTGAAATGAAATTCTGAGAGGCATTCGCCTGGACGGAAGCCCTGGACGCAAGGGATCGAACTCACTTTCAATTACTAACTTTGAAAGCACTTTAGATGGATAAAATGTTGCACTGAGTCTTCGCAAATGAAGTTCCCTTCGAAACTCAGCCATGTCTTGAAGACGACACCCATACTCCGAAACTACGTCTTCATTCTTTTTGCGTTTGAAATCTGAGAGTGATAAAACCCAACTCTTGCAATTAAATACTCGGCTTTTAACACCAATTATTACACCATGGATATGAGTTTTAGCTTGCCCGAGGTTTTGCTGGGAAATTTGCCAAGTTTGATCCCCCCCCCCCCCTAGTTCCAACCTGCACCTTGGCCTAAGACGCAAAATTATATAGGAAACAATATGTGGTATGGTACATTTTTCAAAGACTCTGGAAGTCATTATAAACGCTCGGAAATAGTGAAAAATAACATTTGAAATTTCGGAAAACCAGTTGCCATTAATGGACTTCCGAGTTCCTTGGAAAACGGTTAGGTATTGAGCATGACAACCTCAGCCTCTGAAAATTCTATGAAATTTAAGGAGACTTTATCGGCTCAAAAAACTGCATGGCATTTCATTTTGCATCTTCGTCTTAAGCATTCTTATAATTCATATTTATCTCTATAATCTATATTGCATCTTTATAAATAAAGTCTCGGGTTTAACAACAAACAAAAAACAAAACAAAAATGCAGGTAGCAAGAAGAATGGCATAAAAAAACCAATTCTATAGGGAAAAAATTGTGCTCGAACGAGCTTTTTCCACTCTGTGAGGAAATTTTCAGTTTCATACTGGGATTTAAAGCACGTTTGCGAAATCAAGAACTCCCGTCAAAAATGACATAGTTTCGAAATAAAACTCAACGACAGAAAAGGAGGGAAAGCTTACCTTTCTTTGTTGTGAATATCACGTACTAGGCACTGGTCTATCGTGGGAAGGGGCGGCCGCTCTCCGAGCAGCCTTTGTTGATCCAGGTCCCCCTGCATTTGGGTGAATGTCCCTCCGTCTGTTAAGTCCACCACTGTCGTCTCTTCACCTGAAACAAAACAAAAAACAACAACATTATAGTGTTGTTACAGCGATTCACTAGAACTTGGCGAGAAATACAATCATTTCATCTAACATGCACCCACCTTTTTGATCTACCAACATGCCAGCTAAAAAGAGATGATGATAAAAGAGACGAAGAATATCGATGTCCAAAGTGCGAAACCACGTATCTCCGTTTGCGACAATGCAGACTTTCGGTCATGCTTTATTTTATCTTTGGAAAACCAGCCAACATAATTTTTTGAAAACTTCCAATATTTTTCTTCTCCCTCAGAAGAATAATCCGTGCAAATTTGAAGCAATAAAAGCTTACTTATCCCTGAAAAAATCAATTAGGACCGGAAATATTGAAACTTCGACATGGAGATATATGGTTGCGCCCTTTGGCTATCGATATGGACGAATAAAAATGACCCAATTTATAGACTTTATTAAGGAAGAAGATAGACGTCATTTAGTAAAATATATGAAAAGAAAACAAACAAAAAACTTCACTTTTATTTACGCTGCAGTCTCAATACTTTACTTTACCGGGATAACAATACTGCTGACTCACATGCAATTTATTAATGAACCGGGTACTTCATACATGAATCCATGTTTTGAAATAAACACGATTCTTACAGGAATCTTTTAATAAATATAAAATTACAAGTGCCTTCAATCTATCTGAAAATGAATTTGTCTCGTTTCAGAAAGTACGCGTGGATAATGCGGCTAAAAAGTTTTGACCTTTCAATTTATTATGCTTTATCGTGCGGATTTAATTTTTAAGCTGTTCAATTTTGATCTTAAATAAAATAATGGGTGAAAATGCTCTTTTGGATGTTTATTTTACGTTTTTTGACAATATATCATCTTGTTAACCATCATACATACACCTCCTTTACGCAGTTTGTTTAATTTTTGACGTTTAGTTCTCCTAAACCGAATCTTATTATGATCCCTCCGATTTTTTATGTTTTATTTCAAATTTTTTGTCTTGTTTTCACAATGAAAATGCTGACAAAGAGAAAACTTACGGTTTATTTTTGTTTTACTTTTATTTCATATTATCTTTTTATTATTAGTTCCCTTAATAACTTTGTATTACTAACACTTTTTCACAGAGCTGTCTTGAAAAAAAAAAGCACGTAGGAGCATGCGAATTTAGTTAGACAGACAAAAATATCAAACAGTGTTATGCACGTTTTAAAAAGATAAAAACCAAAAGTATCTGTGATCAATATTGCTTGAAAAATCAAGAATTCTGATGATTTTCACACCCTCTCCTCCTTCCGAATAACCCTTACTGATCTCACCAACTCTTCATCATTTGATGAGAGCCTCATGGGAAAATAGACCGTGTATTCACCAAAAATGCAACACTACATGCAAGTCTCGCCGCTCGATGCGGTAGTGATAAAAACCATCTGAGTTTATTTAAACGCAAAAGTTTTCACGATTCACGCTCATGTCAATCTGACGGGTTCCATACCACGCAACGAGAAGTTTGAACCGGTGCCAAGAAGGAAGCGGAATGATCCGCTGAAGATATATGCTGGAACGCATGACAACGCCGAAGAAACCATATACGGAATTAAAATTATTTTATAGAAAAGCTAAAATCTTAGAGGTGCACTATACTTCGCATTGAAAAAGAACGCTTTTTTCCAATCCATGAAAATGAGAATAGTCGTAAAATTCCTTGAAATAGCATATTTGATCCTACGCGGGGAACAGATCCAACAAAATTTAGTTACGATGGCGTCAATAAGGCTTAGCGAAAAATTTCAGGGAAATTTTCAGCACAAGAACACCCAATGATACCAAATAAAACAAACAGTCATTGCAGTTGAAAGTTTTAGCATTTTTAAAAAAACGTTGTTTTGAGATTGTAGAAAACACCATCAACGTTTTGATGAACAAGGGTGTAGGGGTAGCCGGTGCTACTTAGTAGAATATTCATATAAAAAAGCAAGATTTACAAAGAGTAACGGAAAAGCGAAAACATATTTCATCTAACAAAGGAGGCTCAACTTTAAAAAATTCAAATAACTGCTTAGTGTTTAAATCCTTCAAACTAGTTTCGAGAGCCATCTTCACTCATCTCTCGTATAACGTTTTGACTGACTTAGCTAGTTTGAAGAACTTTAGTAGTAAGCGAAAATTTGAGTTTCTTGATCTGTTTTGTTAGTTATTTACATGTAATATTTCATTTTCGAGTTCCAAAAGTTTTAATCCGTTTGATTTTAATGCAGCTTTACGCACTCAATTGGCACAAAAATGGAAAGAAGCCCTTGCATATATTCTCTACGATACTGAGGAGACATTTCAGTTGAAAATCCAAATTATAATTTGTCAACTCAATTTGAGGCGTGACGTCCCTCTAAAATATATAGATCTGAGCAGTGGGGTAGCTGCTATTCATACATGATGGAAAAAATTCCGTGCCATTAAAAAGGAGCACAGAAAGAGAGAGGTGCCTTCTGCGATTCCCACCCGTCAAACGCAAATTGACATTAGTACCAGCGGCTGAATACAACTATTCGTACTCTATGGATGTCTGTATTGCATACACTTAAAATTGAAGGCGCTATGGCTTTCCCTTACAACTGTAACAATACACGAACGCGCGACTTGCCGTTCGTGGTTTCGGACAATACAAGACTTTCGTACACCGAGCAAGGAACGGCTTAAGTTGACCGATACACTTTTCTTCGCTGCTACAAGCCTGGTGGCAAAAATCGTAAAATATGAACCAACTCAAGACAAACATTAAACTAATTTTTGACAAAAAGAAGCGCCAAATTCAACCTCTCTTGGTCGACATACAAATTAGATTTATTCTAAAGGTCCCGCACTTCACATTTGGAACACGTATTCTGTGCTAATATGCATCGCGACTTTAATAGTCTGATTAAACGATCAAAAAAAGGGGAGTTCAGATTGGAACTTTTGCCAAAATGAGCTACATTGCAGCCTCCTGAAAAAGAGACATCTATTGGCGATGGATGATGAATGATGATCACAATTTTACAGCGGATAGATTCGTGAGCCATCGATCAAAAATTGCAAATGGATTGCCCTTTTCGGAGTTGATACTCGGATTGGTTAAGGTCTTGCGTAGGTTGGCACAACCTCCAATTTCAACTCCTTTTTTCATTGGGTAATCATTGATCAAAGATCAAACCTTCGCGTTTGAAGCTATGTATGAGAGACATGAATACTGGGGTAGTTTTTCTGACAGTATCTTAGCCGTACCGATACAAAGAAAAAAATAAATTATAAAAAAAGAAAGAAAAAAAGTCATTTTTTTCAATCTTCAAGTTTTTGGCACTATAACATCCAGTTATTCCTATATTCCTGTTGTATACAATTTCTAGATCGATGGAATAAAGTCAGACAAAAAAGAATCTGACCTAAATTAAAAAAAAAAAAAAAAAAAAAAAAAAAAAAAAAAAAAAAAAAAAAACTTTAGAGGAACACAGCGTAAGGAGGGCACTAACGTTAATGACCGTTTAAAAGAAAATGGTAAGTGCGATTGAACCCAAATTCGAACTTTATCTTTATTTGGACGAAAGGGACAATATTGCAATATCTGAATGAGTTAACGCGATTCTGACGAAAATCGTGAACGAAAGGAATTTATAGATAGAGGCCGTGTAAGTATTGTGGGTGAGATGGGATGGGATAGGATTAGGTAGGACTATTATAGGTAGGATTGTAGGTTGCATACTTAGCTTTTGCTTAATCAGAGGGTATACTTCAGGAGGCCGAAAGAGGGAGGGGGGCATCTCCCTGGCAAGGGGCTCATTTCAAATTGATCGCAAATACTAAAGATCATGCAATGTTGCTTTTCAAATTGAAAATTACAACACTAAAGTTATACGACATTATGGTTGTTTTGCAGTTTCAATTAAGCGCGCATGAAAACGGAAATATCACCTAATCGTTAAAGTCGTAAAACTATCAAGTCTCTAACGAGCAGTGGTCCGTCATAGTTTGAAAGCATATTTTCGTTGGCTATGGAATTAGGTCACAGGATGACATTGATGCAACTGCAATTATTCACTGAAGATGCATTAATGGATTCGTATCATCAAAATATAACCTCCGCTTGAGAGATATCTACTTATTACACATTGTTACATCACTTAATGGGGGTTCTAATGAAAACGTTACATCGTTTTTAAGTGTTTCATTTAAGGAAACAGAGTAAATAATGGTCAGCAAAATTAACTGAATGGTTCTTCTTGGTCTCTTTTAAACACTTCAGAATCAGATCTAACATTCGTAACTCAATGCTATGCGAAAGACCAGGCGAATGACCTGCATACATAAGATTCCCACTTTCAGGGGCTCTGAAATGTTGTATTTTTGTAACTAAGATCTTTAGCCATAGCACACAGACAGTACTGTTCAACGTAACATTTATTATAAGACTAGCAACCAGCCCGTGCTTCGCACGGTGATAAACCGTCATTAATGAAATTACACCATGTTATAACAATAACTTTTGTATTAATATATTTTACTATACCTATTATGCCCATATTTATATTTTTTAATATAATTATTCAGAAGCTACAAAATATTTTTACATGTGGGGGCTGTTGTTGTACCCATCAGCAAAAACAAAAAACATGTTTGCGNTCCTTTATAGTTTTAGATTGACGCAACGCGTCACGAAAATATTGTTTTAGGGATCAAAATATTTATTTACAGCTTTTGCATGATTTGAATCTGCTTAGAGTTTGGATTATCAGTGTTGAAATACGCACTCGCACATATACTACCGTGCTAAGGAAGAACGCCGTGTGAGCCTTCAGACGTTGCCAAGTTTCCTTCGATAAAAACCGAAATTATTAGGAAAATTGTGGATATTTTCACCCAAGATTTTCAGACAATTTTGTACAATTTAATCTAAAATACCTGAAAATATTAAAGAAAAACGCGCGTGAATGTCGTCAAAAATACATCTTTTATTACGGGAAATTTGGCAAC